ACCTTTAGGATAAGTAAGTGCATCCTCGCCCAACGGCCGTACTGGCCTTTGCTGACAAAGGGTCACTCCGCTACGTAGGTATGTAAGGCGAAACCGTGGTGCCAGTCCCTACGATTTACGGTCCGCGAAACATTTCATGAAGGGTATTGTGCAAGGCGGCAAGGTACGTCTGAGTCTATCCTACGTGAAGCAAATGTGAACCAACTTTGGCGCCGGTTGGAAGCGGCGACCTGGCAACCAGAAGATCCCCCACGAGGTGTCGGAATCGATGTACTATGTTCGTATCCTATCTCTTCCATCCCGCTCCACGTCCGTCGGCGAAGCTAAGAGTCCATGTAAGTACATCAAGGCTGGTCTCGGGATAGTTATACCAGAATCTAAGAAAGGGGGCGGGAGACTACCCGCCTATTGTATCCTAACTCAAATGCATACTCTATTGAAGCCAGCGCTGAGTCCCGAACGACAACCACGGAGGCCTCTCATGCTTCATATTCCTTGACATGACCCATCCGTTCAACATATTATAGGACATTTACCTCTCTCTAAACAACGCCAATCCCGATATGCTTCGTTGCGTCCTTGGGAGTGATATTACTCGAAACATATACTGGGCGAAAGGAAATCCAGGAGATCCTAGGCTGCGACCTTGGGTGAGGAATTCATCTGGGAGGCACAAGACATTTTACTAGGACCTCTCACATCTTCTTTCAAACACTCAAGAGCTCAAAACCTTTACCAATCCTCCCAAAGATGTTCGACTGGAAAATCTTCGACAATGGTCTCGCAGGAGAGCACATCATCGTCGAGCCGATTGCCGACGACCTCTATGAGGTTTACTGGCGCCTCTCCGAAAAGGATCTACTGAGTAACATGGAGTTTTTCCCGGTGGCCGAGGACAACAAATATGACCCGGGCCATTAGACATCCCAGATATTGTCGTGGACGGAGTTCCCTCAATTTTGAGGGCTGGTGGCACACCGTCTCGTAGCGTATGCGATGTGCTGTCTCTTGATAGCATGGTTTTGGTCTTTATCTGGCGGAGATTGCTGGTTTAGCCCTCTCCGTAGACCTGACCCAACAAGGCAGAACAACACGAAATGCCAAGTCGCCTTTTCACACCCTTCTCCAAGCCGCGGGCATAGAACGATGCTATTCAAGAACCACGTCATAGGAGTTGGGCCTACGGGCCAGAACTGGCCGTGAGTCTGATGAATATTAATCGGATTCCTTTGCTAACGAAGACACCACACCAAAGGATGGTGCCAGGACGCTGGTTTCCCAGATGCAACACGAACCTCACAGGCGAAAGAACCCGAAGAATCACCTTACACTCTAGCGGAACGGCGTTTGTTGGTGAGAAACCAGCAGTTAAGGGTTGCCAGCGTCCTGCCTGCAAAATGTGGCTCTCTATCAATCTTGTACCTCCCAACGACCCATTTTCACCAAACGTTCACAAAGGTCAAGGCTTGGAGAAAGCACATGGGCAAGCACAAGAGGCCATACAAATGTCACTTGCATCCACCATATCGCAACCTCATCAGACGGGGAAAAGAGAGGTGTCTGAGTCCCCTCTGTAGCTTGTATGAAGGTGAACTTGTTGACATTACGTGCCTGGACAGCTGAGTATATTGTTGTAGCGAAGGACTGTTTATTCTTTACGAAACCACATTCCTAAATAAACTTATACGCCCGCCACCCACCCCCTGTGGAGTATGAGCCCGTGCTAGGGGAAAAAATAACTAGCCCAGCGAGGAAACGACAAAAAACAAAGAAAGATTTACGGCCCTAAGAGAGACTGAAAGCAGTGATGGACCATCAATCCAAACCCTGCCCTGGAATGGGCTAGCCATAGACAGCTATGGACGACAACCAATGCACCTCGCTTCACCCCAGCTCATTTCGAGTCCAAAAAAAAGGACAGGCCCCACGTGCCAGTCCCATACCATGCCATCGTTGTCTGCTCTGTCATATCGCCCACCAACGAATTGATCACAAGTAGCCAGGTGGTGGTGGACTATGCGTGGGTTGAGCACCAAGGCCGACAATACCGCATCAACGACCACCCTGGTCGAGATCTAGCAACTCGCAAAATTCCAGCGAGCGGGCCAAGGGAGGTTGGATCCCCATCTGCGCCCCTGTCCCAGGCACGCCAGAATCCAGCTCCGCCCCTGGCCAATTGGAGAAGATCATGGGGTCAACTCCAACAACGTTAGGCGAAGATCGGTGATCTACTTACCACAAGCCTTTCGTCCAACAGATTCTTCACTATATGTGGGCGGCGTGGTTGCTCCTTAATTATCTCCTCGCTCCTTCCATGTACTCCGGACCATTTCACTCGAAATTCATATTGGCCCCATCAAAAACGAGTGAATATGACCACTCGAACTCTGAGAGTGATACAACCCCGCCCCTGTACTAGTGACTCTGCCAAGACGATGCATACTCAGCAAGTATTACACCCCAGGAATAGGCACAGGACGATGTAGATCCTCCCTGCGTCAGATAGTCGAAGAAGCGTTGACGTGAATTGGACACGGGGTAGGGACCCTGCGGACACGCCCGGAACAGGCTTTACCCTCGAGAACCATCGACCCAAACGACGCCCTTCGGCCGTGGCGCTTCCTCTTACTCTCGGAGAAAGACAACTGGTGCGAACGGGATCTACGGATCGGGCAAGACCGGTGGACCGTGCTGCAAGAACTCCATCTAGACGCCAGTATTGCGGGTGCTGGAGCACCTAAAGCGTGATAGCTATTGGTGTACGAAGTGAAGGGAAAAAAAAGTGCGGATCATATATGACACCAGTGAACAGAGGGCGGATACCAAAAATCAGGGGGAGCTCCGTGAGAGAGGGCCTGTCTCATCCTGGACCTCTTATCTCGCCTACGTAGGCTGTACGTTTGCCCTTATCACGCGCCAGTGCTCTGGGGTATCGAAGGTATTGTTATCATCAGAAGTTGACGAATGCCTGTTATCATGGGAGACCTTGGTGTAAGCCACTCTCATGGTCTTGCCGAGTTCGGTTCGCCCTTCCACCGCAGGCACCCATACGCGTCCCAAGAACGGGCACCCTGGGTTCTCGAAAGTTGGGCCCTCCATCGACTCCGGACTAATCGTCTGGCTGTGGGTGGACTGCTCGGTATATTGGATGGAAATACCTACAAGTGCTGTATTTGGCCCAGAGCACTAGTGTAACAAGGCAAAATGGCTGTGTTGGGCTGGGATAGGGGTAGCAGGAAGGAGATTTGGCTGGTCACATGTCAAACCAAAAAGGACTAACATTGGCTCTGTTTATGCAGAGAAAGATCATGCTATTGCTAGGGGGAGTGCTGGACAGCTCACAGTGCTGGCAGTGTGCCATTCTTTACAGTTTGAACAGAGTATTCTACGTTTTTGATGCCGTCCACCTATCCTTGAGTGATGTCCCTTTTTTTTTCTCACCCCAAAATGCCGCCGCCGTGCTAGGCGCTCGTCGTCCTAGACATCGCCTCTCCGTGGGTGGTGTTGCTGGAGGTATTGTTTTGCCAGCGCCGAGCAGAAAGGCATTCTCGATTTCCGACCTGCCGGACAGGCCCCTGTGCGTTGTTGCATGTGCAAGCCGAACCCTGAAGTGCTCCGTTACACTAGTATCAGCGTTAGAACATTTTCGCATTCGCAGCGGTTGCCGCATTCTCCAGATATCCATACAGCGTTATGAATGGTTGAGAACAAAAAGAAGTGCCTTCGATTAAAGTGAAATAATGGGTTAATCATCTGGGTAGTTGACCCATTAAGACATTTTGCCCAACGTCCCGCAAGCTATGATAGTCACTGCCGCTTTACCTCTTTCGGATGTCAGAGCCAGGAACTAACCTCTTTCGGTCTGTGACAACAGCTACGCAAACTGCCATTGGCTATATTGCTCGACACCAAACTAACAGAAGCCCCCTTTCAGCCCTTTTTAAACCACCACCACCTTTCTCTTTCTCTCCTGCCATCCAAATCCCTGTGCTCTGCTCTCCTCCATCTTTCGGGTTCTTATGTTGACATATCTTCTTCTACCAGCGTGAGACGGCCCTTAGAATATGATCAAAATTCAAATGAACTTCGAGCTACGTGCCGAGCCCACCTTCTCAGCTTCAGCCTGCTCGCATGTAATAGAGAGTGCTGTGACAGCTAGAGATGAGATCAACGGCTCTATCTATATCAACTAAGATACAACAGCCGAATTGAGTCAATTTGTTCCAACACGCACTCACTGTCTTCTAAGCATCATATAGCTGAGTCATTGTTCTTGCCCGACCAAAAAGCGAGCCTCGTTTTAGACTCGCCTGATTTAAGTCCATCGATCACACAAAAGTTACGCCGTGCTTCAGTTCCGATGGCAACAAGTCAAACTCATCCAGACGCAACGACAGCATTCAAATGCTTGACCTAATGATCGAAAGACTTGAGATTGAGTTGGAACGTTTGAGGCTTGACGGGAGCCGCCTTGATTGCCACGGCCATCAGACTCACGAGTTCCTTTTGATATGGTGCCGGAAGATCGACCGACGGATTGAGCGAAACGTCTGACTACTCAACGCAGAGAACAAGCTGCATAAGGATTGGCGACAGCTGAATGTAGAGTGCGTGGGGAATTTGCCTATGCGACTCGCGTACTAAGAACCAATTCTCCTGATATCATTGAGAGAGAACTGATGCCGATTAACTGGATGATCATGCTGCAAGAATATCTGTCTACTATCGCTCAGAGTCGTTTCCAACCGACCGAGTCAGTTTCAGGGGAGGCAGGGCCATACCTGCAACAACCGCACAGAATTTGCGGAGGGTCATATATCAGCAAATCGTGAGTTAAATCGAGGAAGCGCTGCCACTGACTTCAGTGGGCAAAAAGCATTGACAGTCGGGGTTCAGCTATGTTCGGAGACCGCCTTGCACCTATACCGCTAGGAGTGACACTCTATTGCCCAATGAATAAGCTTGACGGAACAAGTACGACGTGGTGGATTACGAGAGCCATGGCAACGTCCAGCTTCCAGTGAACCACCTGCTGAGTGAGTGGAAGTCATACAACACGTAAAGTGTCCCCGAGTGACTGGGTGGACAGGCGTTTAAAATCAGACAGAGTGGCCGTATTCGGGGCTCGAAACGCGACCCTGCAGAGCAGATCCCGATCCCCAAAGTTATCACAGATATCATACGGAAGAAAACTGGGAATATTAACAGAACCAGCGTCAAATTCGCTATCAAGGACATCGCTCGCTTGTTAGTCAAAAGCTCTCTCTCCAAGACCGGCAAGACAGGAACAGCGTTGGTCATCTTCTGTGATCCAGTCCCCGGACGATATCTGGCTATGATGCAGAGCAGTGATCGCGAGGTTTTATCTGGTGACGGTGATGATGATGGAGAGTCGTCAGTGGATGTCAACATCAAGTTCATTGGGACAGCACAGTTATACGAACCTCAATCTGAAGAAAACATCGTTACCAAGAAGTAATTAAACTAGGTCATCTCTCATAGACCAAAGCTAATCCCGATCTATACCATTATTACCATCCATATCCTTTATGACCATCTGCACGGAAGTTAACTCAGTAAGTCTGAAACCGCGAATATAGCTCAAGGACCCTCTACCCGCAAATATACTCAACTACCGCATCTTCATCTATGGCTACAAGTTCCAATATCTTTGACGAGGGGATGACGCATCCGCGACACGAACCCTTTGGTCAGACAGAGACTCAACGCAACAATGAACAACATCAGAACTTCGGCAGAGGTCGGTAGGGTGACGGTTCTTCCGTTACTAAACTAACAAGTTAAAATCCACAAGGCCCATCATTTTTGTCACTCGTAGCTACGGACGCCTAGTGCTTACGAAGGTTTTTTTTTTTCCCAACCACTTGAACGTCGAATTATACTTAACTGGCACCAAGTCCTAGAAACTTATCGTAGTCCGCACGCGGCAGAGAGGGCAATTTCCGGGCATGATCAAAGGGAAGTAAGTTTACATTTTCATCGAGACGCGAAAGACAGAGACTGTCACAAGAAAGGTACGTTCTCGGCATCAATCGCCCTCTGGGAAAATTGGGTCGTTGGGAGACTAACAGGGACCCTAGTCAGGGAGGGTCCGCCGCGATGGTGATCCTGTAATGGCAGCCGGGCCTAATTCTGCCATTCTGGGACTGCCGGAAGAGAATGAGAGTGATACCCCCAGACAAGGATCATTCCAACGTCGTCAAGTTTGCGCAGAAGGGTGACAAGACCTACGAGGATATCAAAGTGTCGTACACATACTCTAATTCAGAAGGCGACAAGGGAGCAGAAGTTGAAGAAATAGAGAACTCGAAAATAATTCCCTCTATGCATCGAATTTTCGTAGAGACTTTGGACATCTCATCCATCAGGCTGAGGCTGGGGTTGAGGCTGGTACTGAGTGTTCAGGGGGGTGGCACTGTCCAATGGAACAAATTTGCCAAGATTTTCCTCCCGTTATCGATAAGGGCCCAATAGGGTCCCGTGGGTCCCTCGTCCAACTAATTAGTTTTCAAGTTGCACGAGTGTCCTCTTCGCAGATGACCTGCGTGTTCTACCAACTCGAACCTCGAACACTGCCAATATCGGTTACTTCCAGCTCGCGGTAGTCCCTTAAAGCTACCTTCTGCCTCCACTCGACCGGGTAACTGAACCTTGTGAGGCCTGCCAGACGAAGAAAGACCCGACAACCTTTCGCTTCATGAGCGCAATATAAGGGGATCCCAGTGTGCCCGCCCTCGATTTCCGGTTCCACTCAAACTCGCGCACACTGCGCCCAACCCGCGACCTTGGAGCCGAGATGCGGTTCCTCTCACTCTCCCTCCTCATCCCTATCGCCTATCTCTCCATCCTGATCGGTAGCATGGCCACCTTCTCCCATCTCTACCGCCAAAGACAAGTCAAGAAGAAACTGCGCCTGGCGCCCTACTTCCCTGCTCACACGACCCGCAACATTTACCTCTCCCTATTACATCTGCAGGACGATGGAAATACAAAAGTGCCTGATTCGGTACTACGCGCCGCGCTCCTGGCACGGGCGTGCGACGACATTCGACGAATAATGGAAATCCGGGTGCGGAAGCCCGCGTTGGCGGCCCTGTTGCAGCGAGGCGTGGTGGGTGACGAAATATTCCAGCGACTGCAGCGCGCGGAGCAGGAGCTCGAACTCGAAATCAAGGACGTGGTCGCCGAAGCAAACGCCCTGAGTGGATCGGGGGGGCCGAACGGCACGCCGGGCACGTGGGGGCATCACATCTTCCAGAGCGCCAACGAGATGGTGCAGAACCAGATTTTGAGGGACAAGTTGGACGCCATCAGGAAGACGCTGCCGGGGGAGAAGGAGCGGTGGGAGAAGCAGAGAGAGATGGCCAGGCGGGAGTTGATGGGCGGTGAGGTTGCAGCAGATGTGGCAGCTGGTGAAAGGCCCGCTGCTACAGCTAATTCTGCTGCTTCTTCTACTCCTTCTGCTCCTTCTGAGCAGGTCACTGTAGAAAAGGTGACCGCCAAAGCCGCTACGGCAAGCAGCGATGAAGACGGTGTCATAGTCGAGACGCCCGCCGCCGAGATCTCGACCAGCGGACCAGGCGGCGGAGGTGGTGGCGGTAAACACAAGAAGAAGAAAGGGAAGAAATGAAAATCAAAGCCCAGGCATTTCATGTACGATATTGATTCCGCTGTCCCTGCCCTTGTCCCTTTTCCTGGCCTTTTGGAAGGGTTGGAGTCTGCGAAACAGACACTAGCAAGAAAGAAATCCAGCATTTTCCGCGTTCCGCCTTCATAGAGGAACCCTTAATTTTAGTTTTTATTTTTTTTGTTTGTTTGGGAGTCGGGAAGGGGGAAGAATTCTGGTGGAGGTGGGCTCATGCTCTCTACACGCGCTACGATACAGTTTATGAATACAAGTCTCAACAGTACAACGGAGAATATCCAATGGGCAATCATCTGGTTGCAGCATCCCTTTCTCTATAGGCCATGACTCGCTCCCCAAGCGCAGAATGATCGATCAAACAAAAAGTTGTCGCTACAATGAAACTTCAATGTCGCTCCAATCACGCCGCACCAGGGCCTCGGAAGGGATTGGCGACATCTTCATCTGGTCCGCAACGCGAAGAACCTCCTGTGCCACGTCTGCCGCAGCCACGCCTTTCGCTCTCTTCTCGATCACGAGGCACAGGAACGCAGATAACACGTCGAGTCGAAGCTCCCTTGCGGGTTGGCTTTCAACCTGCTCCACCGCCTCGGGATCGACGTCCCTCTCTTGCACCATTTTATCGCTGATTGCGACTACAATCTCCGTGAGAGTCTTCACCGCGCTTTGATACTGTAGGTTCTTCTTCATTCGCAAGCCGCGAGCGCGGGCCGAGAGTGGTGCAAAGTCGGATGCGAAGGAGCGAGCTACCTGCATAATGATCAACCGACTGACTTCCTCGTGGGGCAACATGTCGAAAGACTCGCGGAGACCATATAGCGCGCAGACGGTGCCCTGCGGGTCCGAGGAGAGGCAGAAACAGCGGATGATCTGTTCGTACAGTTCAGAAGAGAAGTCAGCTCTGGCGGCAGATTTCTTCTTGAGGTCGAGTCCGCCGAACCATTCTTGCATCTCCGCGAAGAGCATTCGCGCAGCGGGAAACTCTCCTTGGTGGCGGTAAGGGTATGCATAACAGTTCTTGGCCGTGTCCCAGAGGGCCGCATACGTCTCGAGGTCAGGGGAGATGGATTGCCTCAATGTCGAGTATTTCTTCCAGACATCTGCGATCTGGCCAGATCGAAGTGAAGCATAAAGCCAATGGTTCATGATGAATGAGTTCGGTTTGATCTGAGCCGAACCGGTCATGACGTCGGTAAGATGACTGGCATTTGCCAAATCTGATCGGCGAGTGTAGTGCTGTAGCAAGATGGAAAATGTCTCAATGGTTGCAGCTGGCGCGCCCCGTTTGAGGAAAAAAGGTAGCCGTCGGGGCTCGGTCTGGGGGGCGATTTCTACAGCGGTATCGTTTGCCTCTGAAAGCCGCTTTTGGACCAGTTCAATTCGGGATTGTATCATGGCCCATGCAGTCTCTTCGGCCTTTTGGCGGGCAGTTGGCGAACCTTGACGAAACCAAGCCGCTACAAGGCCGTTCAAAGGCCCAGCATCGGGTCTGATCCCACGTTCATACATGAGGTCAACCACCAGAGCAGCCTCGTCCGTCCTCCCCTCACCAAGGAGCCACTTGATCCAAGCAGCGAAAAAATATTTGTTGTGAAAGCTTCGGGGAAATATGGCCAGTGAAGAAAGCCCGATCTGATTGACGAGGTCCTCAGTCGGTGATTCAGCGTGGCTTACCTCCTTGCTGAGCTCTCTAAAAACTCTTAGAGAATCGGTCGGCGACTTGGCCGTAAGCATGAACATGTCTTTGAAGACCGCCAGAGCAAGTTCAATACGACCGGCGTCGAGTAAGGCGCTACTGACTCGGCCCAAAACATCCAAAGTCGTCTTCTGGTCTTCCCTGCCCTCGAGCCTCTTGCGCAGCTCTAGGTAGCAGAACCATGTCTTGGACGCAGCAGAAGGGCTTTGACTTTTGGCCCATGCAGCAATCACCATGACAAGAACTTCCGGGTCAATCATGGTGGTGTGGTCGTAGCATTCGAATGCTAAACGCTGCGCCTTCTGCGGCTTTCCAAGTTGCACATAAAGCCGGACACCGGTAACCCAGAACAGTTCAGCAAGATCGTCTTTAAGACCTAACCGAGGCCTCTGTGATTCCCAGGCTTCAATCGCAGCGGCAATATTTCCGGTAGCCTGCAGGGCATCGATATATTCAATCCACTCTTTGTCTTCGAGTGCAACATCTGCTTTAATCATATCCTTGCCCAACATCTGAAGGTGCCGGGGCCTGTAATAAATAGTGCTCTGCGACTTCCAGAGGAAATGCCAGACATCCTCGGGCAGTATCATGGTAAAATTCGGAACGTGTTGTTGGCAACGTAGATACCACTTCCACAATGTAAAATAGACCTTCTCGTCGTTTTTCTCTTGAGCGGATTCCAATGCCGCGTTAAATCGCTTGACATAGATTTTATCTCTTATGGGGATGCTAAGGGTGACCTTGAGGGCTGATTTGGGCGTCGTGGCTTGTTTCTTGCCCTCTTCTTCTTTTGCCAACTCGTCCAGATCTTCATCGGATATCAGATCCAGATCCTCGGGAGGCATGACACCCTCTTCTTCGAGTGCTTTCAGTAGTTCCTCCCTCTCATCGACAGAGAAAGATCGCATGAACTGGCTGTTGGGTCCGAAGGGTCCTTCTCGCATGACCGCAAGCTCGCGATCCAATTTGTTCAACTCTGCCTTTAGAGCATGCGTTTCATCATCTAGAAGGTCGCGGACCGGAAGTCTTGTGGACGCATCCTCGCCTTGCTGTTCAAATTCATGAATGTCCGGCTGTCCCAGAGGCGCGGTGACTGGTCTGTGAGGAGGAAGAGGGCGCGATCGAGCGGTTTGGCGATACTGGCGGACCGGTTGAAGATGTTGCAGGCAGAGCTGATGTCCCACGAAGCTCGGAGACAGACAGAATTGTTGGTGCCATCTTCGAGACAGCTGGCAGATGCCGCGCATAGAGAAAGTCACGGGTCTCTACTGCACAATAGTCAGACAGTCGAGGATGGTGCACCGTTCGATTGATGGATTGCGGCGAGGAAAAAGTCTCCCAGACGGGGGATCGAGTTTTGCCGAAAATCAACCGAGCTCCGCAGCCTCGTCCCTTTTGTGGCCATTTCCTCCCTATTCTTTCCCCCTCGGACACTGAAGATTCATCCAGCCCGCAGGTTTTACGGAGTTGCTCATTCTGCCTTTCACTTCATATGTTCTAGGCGATGGTATTCCACTCTATATGCTATATAGAATAGAGCGTTTCACTTCCCAACCTTGCTGTCGGCCTGAGCGGTTCCAATATGCAGAAGGAAAGAGATTAGCTTCTAAACGATCAACATCTCGTCGACTTCCCATCCTTGATAATTCTCACTCTCTTGCCAGGAGTATACCCCCTTCCATTCCCACCATAAGCCTTGGTTGAAGCTGGCACAAATTGCCGCAACCAGTCCAAAATTTTCCCCTCGCAGGCTGCTGCCGACGGCCGGAGACACACCATCTTCAGCCGCTGCTCTGAGAAGCCTTACCTGGGCTCCTTGGTCAAGTAACTCTTCGATCGTAAGCCAAGCCAGTGCGTCGTCCGGATGAGCATATATCAATTCAGCGTTTTCGAGATCCATCTCGTCATCCACCCATGCCTCAGGGGTGGGCGTCAGCTCGCAGCACAACTCCCTATTATTTTCTAGTAGGGAGCGATCAACCTTCACAACGCGCCATTTTCCGCGCAATCCCTCCTCTGTGATGTCGGCAAAAAGGCTACCCTCTCCATCATATGACGGAAATCTCACTGTGTATTCTTGCCTCCTCCCGTCTTCAAGCCTAACAGATCTCCTGACCGGTCGAATGTACGGCGTTTGGGGCGCCCAACTGAAGCCTTTGATCATGCTGACACGTGGAGCGCTCGACAAAATATATCCACTTCTGACTCGCTTCTCATTCCTCCAGAGATCAGCTGCCTGTCTTCTCACACGCGCTTTGATCAGCAAAGTCCAACAAATGATAACATCTTCAGGCCAGGATGTGTGGCGTTGACTGAGGAGATAACCTGCTTCTTCGACGGTCTTCCTAGACGCCGGATCCGAGTGAGGGATCAGATGTTGCGCGCTCCCGAGCAGAACAGCAATGTCGACCGCACCGCGTTCGTGTAAGATGACGAGGGCTTGACGAAGGTTTAGGACTCCGTCGTCCTTGGAAAGCAGCCAGATCGCACGACTGCCACGGATGCCTTCCAGCAATGGCCAGCCACGGACAGTCCAATCACTCACCAATAGCGTAGAGACGAGGGTCTCGATCTCTGCAATGTTCGGGTTTGGTAGTGTTACATCGACGGATTGGACATCCATGTCAATAACCAGGGTTACCTTTGCCGCGGCGAAGATATCGTTGATGCTGTCGATGGCCTGCCGTCGTAGAGTGGTCTCACTTGGAATACATGCGGCGTCAATCCAATACGTATCACACCCAAATTGACGGGCCAAACGGCAATACCGTCGGTGTAGACAGGTGTTGATACCAGTCTCCGGACGACCGCCTTGTCCATGGCTCCAGACGTGAGAAATTGCCAGCGTCTGAGAAGAAACAGGAGCGTAGCCCAAGGATGCAGAATCCTCGACTACCCTAATAGCCGCGGGCTTCCGACACTCGTAGTATGAAGAGGCGTTCCAGATAATTCTCCAGCATCGCTTGTTGCAATCAGACGAATGTGCTGATTGCACAGCGGCTTCTGCAGCAGTAAACCTCTGGCAAGTCTCTGGCTGACCACCTTCACACGTTTGAATCGAGTCCTTGATGCACCTTCCATGCCGTCCGCCGAAGTGAGCATCGAACCGTGCAATCATCCGGCGAAAATCAAGCCCAACAGATGTGCGACTTGTTCTGAGAAGTTCAAAAGCCCAGTTGCACAGATAGTCAGTGCACTTGCCGCGATATGCATCTCTGGAGAGATTCTCCAGTTCATGGATGCCTCGAACAGCTAGGAGAGTGTTCCAGGTAGATGAATACCCATGGGCGAGTTGAACTCCAATCACATAATAGAAATGAAGCATTACAGAGCGCTGCCAAGCCGACCAGAGAAAAACCTTGACGATCGCCATTCCCTGTTCGTGATCGTCGCGTTCCTGAGGGAACAAGGCGTCCTTCAATGCACGGCCTTCGTCCGAGTCATCCTCAAACGGTGCTTGGATCCCGAAAGATGCGGCGTCACATATGCTCTGATATTCGTCAAACAGTTCAGAGAGCAGATTGACATATTCGAGGGAATTCTGGGCGAGACGCAGATCAGGGAGGGAGCCTTGATTTGCGAAAACAGCTGCCAGATATAGGGAATTGGTGTCAACACGTGTAGTCACGTACAGATTGTCCCAGGCGAAATCTTGCAACGTGGTGACTAGTTTGAGAGCCGATTCTGCATCTTCTGAGCTTTGTGTCCGGAAGTGGGATTGCGCTTCTGGCACAATATACCTCGCTGCCCACCTACCATTCTTGATACTATCCCACAGGGTAGTGCCTTGCTTCCGCATCAAACCGCTATTCAGAGGAAGCGAGAAACTACGCTGGGGGACTTGCGGTAAGCGCGAGAGCAAATTTTCCGACTTGGAGCACATATCAAACAGAATAGTGCCGACTGGGCGCGGGGACCCCTTGACAAGGCCATCGGACCGTGGCAAAAGAAGCGAGAGCTGCCGGTCGAGTTTCTCAAAATGTTGTGTCGGATGGTGTACGCCTGTCAGAAGTGGTGTACACGCTAGTCTCAATTTCCATAATCTCAGATCCGTGTCTTGAATCTGCGCCAAAGGGCATAGGAGCAAGTCAGTCGCATTGACCTCATAGATGCTCTCGACGGCCTCCTCCAATGAATGACGAAGTGCATGTCCTGGTTGCCTATTCATCACCCTCGATACACGGATGGGTCAATGGAGCTAGAGACGAGATAAAAGCTTTCAACCAATCGTGTATGAGCGTATTAGCGGAAGGTCTGAAAGGCTCTTGGGGTCAGACGCGAGATCAGGCTGAGCAACGGCCTCGTGGTTGCAAGGGTGGGACAGGGTAGGTTGAAAGAGGACTCGGTCCTCATCTCTAGCCTGTGCTATAGACTGGGATGCTAGAGTCGCGAATGGAAATGGAGTAGCGATTTGACCTCTCCATGTTCATAAACGAGGTAGTTGTTGTTCTGGACGGACATGTGCCCTTGGCATGGAAAGATGACACGTGGGTGCACGTGTCACTCTCTCAGCCTTTCCACGCCGCGTCGGGTTTCATTTCTAAACACCTCTTCACTCACCCTTCATCCTGACTCCTGAACTTCTCCACGCCGTGCAGTGCCGACAAAAGGATCCAAATTGCGGCAGACCTACCAATTCCATCATTGACACCTTTTCGACTTGCGACCACTTCTCTATCCTGGTGGCTCAATGTCTTTGGAAGATGTTGTCCTGCCACAGCAATCTCGCATCGTTTAAAATTCGGGCACAGCATCATCGTTCCCGTGGCGCGCCGTTGCAGCTAGTGGCTGATCCTCAGCTCCGCTACTAACTACTTGTCAATTTTCTCTAGGAATAAATATAGTCAAAACCTAGCCTCATTCTTTCGTTAACGCGCACAATCAACAAGGGGTAGGATGAGTACTCGTCAGCTAGGTCAGAGACGCCGGTCACGATTCGAAGGAAAGCCCAGTGGGAACAGACGAAAGCAGTTGTCCCCCCTATTGTGATGAACTGATGCATCCGATCTTTCATTTCACTTTTGATCCACCCCATTCAAGGATACAGTCAAGGCGGGAGAGTTTCCTATCAAGCAAACGGAATACATCGATCTGTCCTACAAGGATACTATCTATACAGTTCTTTCTCCATTCTCGAACCTACATAATAATGGGGTGATATTCGACACATTGCCAACTCGACCGACTCGTCTGTCACTCGTTCTGTTTCTCCTTCTGTCGTTCGTTTACAGCATGCATTCCTTTCCTCGTCCCTTCCTCCTTTTAATCCTGCTCACAATTTCTCTCGCTCAGACCGGTGTGGGCTCTTGGATCTTTCCCCCTTCTGGAGACTTCGATCCCTACAGCTCTATCGACACCGGCCCAGCTTCATGGCCTCCTGGGCCCGAGCCTGGTGCGCCCAAGCCCGGTGCCCCTGCTCCGTTCCCAAGCCCACCGGCCTGGGTTTCTTGGCCAGAAACAGAGACCTCTTCAACTACAACTCGCAAGACGATTAAGCCAACTACAACCACTTCCAAAACCACTTCAGCCTCGCCTACAACGTCGTCCACGACTTTCTCTACGAGTATGACTGCCATCACAACTACCACCACCCCTATCACTACCACTACCACTACCACTACCACTACCACTACCACTACCACTACCACTACCACTACCACTACCACTACCACTACCACTACCACCACAACCCCCGCTGTCATACCAACTAATTGTAATCCCGGTGGAGCTCAACCGACCTTCATCCTCGTCGGGAGCGATAGCGGCACAGTCTATGATGGCCAGTATGTCTCAAGCGTCGACCAAGCAATACAGAAAGGCTAGACTTTGTCCCGTCCGAGGCCGACGCTGTCACCTTCATCTTCAATAACAATTGTAACCTGGTTACCGTTTTGGATGGCAGACTTAGTTACGTCACCTCCACTACTGAGTTGACTGAAGTCTTCCTATTCCCACCGGGCACTGCGGACTACACGGCCTTGGTTTGCAGTGTCACCGCCGCCAACACGCTCGACTGTGTGATAGGGGTGCGCGACTTTGCCACCTGCCCGGCTGATGGGAATCCTGTATTCTTTCAAAACGGTCCAACAGAGGGATGTTCGTCCATCACGTTTAGCTTTGTGTACGCGTCATGAAGAGTGAGCCCGTGTTGGGAAGCCGGTAGTCAAAGAGATGTGGAAAGTCTAAGAGTAGGAGCGAAGTATGTCACGTCGAAAGAAGCAAATGACAAAAATTGAATCTCAGGAAGAAGAGGTGGGATTGCGAGAGATATTGTTTCGGAAACCCGGGCTCATCTTTTGCTCTCTTTCCCTTCTTTTCTAATCTATACGGAAAACACGTTGCACACCGCAGCCTCGCCAAGCCTCCATGCAACGTGACCCCCAAGGCTGTACCAGGGCACCCCCTCTCATAGAAATCCTCCGTACTCAAAAATCATATTATATTGCATGGTTATTGCGACTCAGGAAGTTAGCGCCGTGATAGTTGGCATCGCATCATTGGCCCTAAAGCGCTAAGGGTTTCAACCCTTGGGACGGGTGGGGCATGGCAGTCAGGGGTAAGCACAGACATATCTGTCTGACTAAGACACCCACGACAAACGTGCTTGAAACGTGCCAAACAGCTGCCAACTGATTCTGTCAGACAAAAATCATTCCCCTCACGACGCGCCTTATATGACAAAAGCGCGTTCTCGGGTGAATCATTGAAAGGCGAGCCTTATTAAACAAGACCGGGAGGGCTAATAAATCCGAAAGTCTCAGATGGACGACGAACTGCACACGGTAAGCTGAGGACAGACTCGTCTCCGAATATCAGTTAACATATTCCAGAGCTGCTACATTTTCAGACCGACGACAGAAGGGAACGAAGAGATCGATCCGAGTCCGCAAAAGAAGCGGAAGTTGAACAAAACCCCCTCGAACGGTGCTCAAGGGGAGTACTCGTGGCCACGGGTGCTGGGTGGACAAGAATCTCGAGAGGCTGTCACACGGCGAAGGAGTGCATTTGAGACAATATGGGCCAAGCAACAGGAGAAAATCGACGGCATTGTCAATGTGGTAGACGAAGAATTTGTTGGCCCGGTTATAAGATATGCGCGCACCCAGAAGGCAGATGACCTCCGGAATGGGAAGAGACTGAAGACCGCGCTACTTGCGTTGGGTCCCAGCACAAAGTATCACCACGACGTCCATGAAACATGGAAATGCACCGTGCCAGACAAAACGCATGGGGAACCAGAGTTGCTGGTCTCTTTGCAGCCGAGTCACTGTCCCAACATTCAGATTGCGTTGAAGAACGTCGTCAGATCCGCGATATCTGGGCAAGGAGGAGTTGGAGAGTATACAGAATTCCTGATCGAGCACAAAGCCCTGATCCCGCTGGCCTTCGATCTGGAATTGCTCCACCGATATGTCCACCGCCACAGCGTCGAGCGAGTGGTGATATCCATCATGGATGTCGAATCATTTGACACTACTGTCTTTTCCGAACTGATCTCGACTTTCCACTCCTGGTCGGACAGGATCCCAATCGTTCTTTTCGTCGGCATATCAACAACCGTCGAGCTCTTTGAGTCTCGGTTGTCAAGATTGACTGTTTCACTTTTGGATGCTCAAATCTTTGAAACAAGCTCACACCTGAATGTGGAAGATCGGCTCTTTGACCTGTACGCGACAATACAACATGGTCAGGATGCAGATGTGTTTCTTGGTCCGTCGGTCGTCCGCGTGCTGGCCACTCTGGCAGAAGACCAAGGCAGCACACCTGAAACATTTGCCCGGGCCATCAAGTACGCTTACATGTCTCACTTTTTTGCAAATCCTCTGTCAATGCTGTGCATCGAATCTGGTACGCCCTCGCCGTGGGCGCCGGTACTGTGTCAAGCCATCCGCAACCTGGCCAGCTTTAGAACATACTGCGAAGCGCTCGGAAAGGGCGACAAGACCCAACGAGAGAGGGTCCGACACCTCCTCACCTCCGACGACGACCTTGAAAAGGCAGCTGTCATAGCAATCCGATCAGGCAAAGACATAATGCGTTCAAGTCTCTGTGCCATCTCTACCCTAAGATACATCTACCACCGGAGGCTCAAACTGAAAGCATATACGACGTGGGAGAGTGAAACGCATCTCCTGCAGTCTCTACCTGGTCTGGATAGATCAGAGCTCTTCGAGGCCATCGAAGACAAGTTCAAAAGCCTACCCCCTGGGACGCCATTTATCCAATTCCTCAACGACTCCGCCCCGGAAATGGGAGATCTACAAGACTTCCATCGGTCTTCCGCACAAGAATCAGACTCAGAGGCAGAGGCCGATCCCGAGACGAGCCACGTTTCCGAACCAGAAAAGTTCATCACACTCCTGCGCCGATACCTCCAAAGCCGAACGTCATCCCCTTCTTCACCATCACCTTGCGACGGCCTCAACCCCTTCCGCGAATTCATGGCCGAGTCATACACCGTGAACCAGAAATCCCCGCTCTCTCAGACCATCCACCCGCGCCCTCGCCACTGCGTCGAGCGCGCCCTGGTCCGTCCGGCGGACTACCTGGGCTGCGCATGCTGCGTGTCCTCAACCGGCGGCGAAGGTGGAGACATGTCGGATAAGGCGAGTCTCCCGCCCACAAGCCTCCTGCTGAACATGCTCAATGAAGCGGGCGTGGTGGTCAACGTACGGGATCTGTGGGATGCGTTTCGAGACACGCTCTTGCACGGCGCACGGTCACGATCTGACGCCGACGCCGGCACCACCGATCACGATCATGACGTTGACGTTGACGCCAACAACGACGAAGCGAACGAGACCGATGAGCAAGACAGCAGGGAAAAAGGCGATGCTGAGGCCGAGAAGGAGAAGCAAGCACTGTCCCTCTTCTACCGCGCCCTGGCCGAGCTGCGGTACCTGGGTCTGATCAAGCCAAGCAAGCGCAAGCCCGGGGTGGAATGTATCGCGAAGACGGCGTGGATGGGCCTCTAGCTACCGAGCAAGCTCCAGTCCGTGTCCAACGCACCTGCTTTTCTAAACGGTCAGTCAGTATCAAATTGCATGGAGACGGAGACGGAACAATCCATTAACGAACAGGTCAAGGTGAAGGTGTTCCCTTGTATTCTAAGTAAATGAATCGCCCATGGCTTCCCGAATTCGCTCCTCCTAAGGAGACCATCCCCTTTGTCAGAGCGTGTGCGTGACTGGTACAATACATGGTAATATCTCGGGATTTCGTTTGAACATTTCCATCCGTCTTTCCGCATGCTATCCAAAGATCCCACATCCCACATCGCAATAGCGACGAATAGTAACAACATAGGCACCGATCATCAAATCCAGAACCAGATCCAATACATATTCCCATCTCAACGTCCAATGCACATGCCTCGATGTATACGCACTCAGTAACCAAACGCCATTTCGTGCAATTCCAATTCCCCCGTTGCAGTCCGCCCAGACAGAAGTGGGAAACAAGAATAGCATAAAAAGGGAAAGACTTGTTTGTCCATTCCTCCCCAACCCATCTCATTCCATCCACAGACTCATGAGTCACCCGACTCAAAGACAAACGACAGCAAGTTTTCGACATGTGGCTAACTCAGCTCGTAGACACCAAACATTACCATGAACAGGGGTATAATGACCAATAAAAATGAAAAGTGACTTCATCCCGATGTCATATCAACAGAAAATCAGAAGCGAGCCAAACGAGTGCACGCCAGGTCAGGTGAGGAGAAAGTCCGCCCAGTCATTCAAACCACGACTTCGGGAGCAGCCAAGGTGCAATTGGCGCAGAACTTTTGGTGACATTCAGGATCCATACAGCGGTTGCTTAGCCCGTAGGCATTGGGTAAATCGCATTGGCAGCAGATGATCAGTGTGGCATGGCGTAGATGGTGACGCCGGTGAGAGCGGGAGTCCTCGTTTTGGCCCTGGCCCTGGCCCTGGTCATGACTTTGGTTTGTCATCGACACATCTTGTGTCTGAGGCACTTCCATCGCGCTATGCATGTTGCCCACACCTGATGACCCCTGGTGAGTGCTGGAAGGGCTGGCTGGGTGCGGCGACAAGGCTTGGTGCACTGGCGAGGAGTCGCTGTGTTGTGAAGCCGAAGACTGAGTAGTCTCAGAAGGAGCCTGCGGAGTATGCATGACATCATCATCATCTTCTTCATCATCATCATCTTCTTCTTCTACGCTGCCTTCGCTCTGCTTCCTCTCCTCAGACCGTGCTTCCTTCGTCTTTCCCTCGCCGGTGAGCTCAACCCAGTCCTTGTTTGATTTATGGTCTTTCATGAAGTGATCTGCAATGTGATCGAATCGATACGTGATAGCGTCGACATCAGTCTTAGGGTGAACAACGACTTCCTTGCAGAAACCACACCAAAACCGGCCTTGATAATTGCTTGCTAGTCGGCGGTTTTGAGCGTGCTCTTCCGGCCGTAGAATCGAATGAGCCTGTTGCAGATGCTGAATATAATTGGATGGGTCGTGAAAGAAGACTTTAAAACAGAGGTCACAGACCCAACACTCTTGTTGCTCATGCTGTGATTTCTCGTGCCTTTTCCAGTCGTTTTTACTGCCGAAAGTCTTGTTGCACCCGTCGAAGACGCAACCATACGGTTTCGAATGGCGTTTCATGTGCTTGTTCAAATCACTTTGCCTTTGCTTCACCTTTTTGCATCCCGGATACTCACATGGAAAACGCGCGGGCTTTGAAGGAAGATATCGGATGCCACCAGGAGGTTCAGCATCAATAGCCCTAGAGACCGGCCTGACGGAAGAGGCAGTATAACTTGTCATGGCATCGCTGTTGTGTAAAGACAATCGAAACTGGTTCACGATTTCCTCGAGGTTCAGAATATCCTCGTCAGAACGTGATTGATTGGGCCCGTTGGACTGGTGTTGTTCTAAAAAGGAGCGGATCTCTTCTTCGATCGCCTTTGCGAGCTTAGACTTTGAAGGAGTATTGTCGGGTTGAATGATATTGATCTGGTAGCCTTGGTGTGGTGAAGGCCCTGAGTCGTTGTCAGTGGCGGCCGGGTTGGTACTACTTCCAACATAGCCAAGAAGATCGTCCTGTGAGCCTCCAAGGTCCGGCGGGACACGGGCCATCGGGAGTGAGGCAAAATCGGCCATTCGGTTCGGGTCAAGGTCAGGGACGGTAATTGTATGTGGCTTTTTCGTCTTCCGTGGCGGTACATTGCCGAATGCGGAATTCATTCTCATCGCAGTGGCAGCGATGGCATAGGATTCCCGAGACGGACGGGGCGAAAATTGGAAGTTGACTCTTTGATTGGTGAAGTCGGGAGAGAGTTGTGACATATCCTGATATTGAGAGCAGTCGGCCTGCGACCATGCCCTCTGCACGGATGCCACGGGAGATGACAGATTTTGTGTGTTCAGATTGGGAAGAGCCCGCTGCTGCTGCAAACTGCGGGCGTTGGCCGCAGTGGCTATGGGCCGATGCTGATTGTGTTGTTGCATGGGCTGAGCCGGGCCAAAGGACCTGGCAAGATCTCGGTCGATGATTTGGCCATTGTAACTTGGTGAGCGAGACGTTTGAGTGATCTGAGCTATGTTGGGGCCGAAGAGTGTGTTCAGATCCTGATAGTTGCTGTCAGAGACAGAGAATTGGTCGTGCCCGGAGATTAGCAAATTCGACGAGTGCGACGGGATCGAGGCAGGAAGGGATGCCGTCTCGTCAGCCTGTCCTTGTAGAAGTTGGTCTTGGTACCATTCGTTGGACCTAGAAGAAGTCAGTCCGAAGAACGTGAACTAGTTAACAGATACTCACAATCGAAGTAGAGACTCTAGATTCTGATCCCCGTGCATCTTTTTGAGATGCTGCTTGAAGTTGTCCAAGCGAGGCCATTCCTTTTCCGCCTTGTTACAACCAACGCCAAAGCACTTGTAGGATCTGCTCTTCCGGTTGTTGATTTTATGCACGGCTTTAAGATGCCTGTCAAGGTCATTGCTAGTAGCAAACCCTTTACTGCTCTGAGCACAGTCAGGGAAGGGACATTTGTGCTCGCGTTTATGGCGGGCAAAATGTTTCCTGGAACCACCCTTGTCAGCATTGCATATCAAAAAGGTGACGACGACGACGACGACGACGACGTACTTCAGATCGGACCTCGTCTTGGCTTGGTAGCCACATTCCGAACATTCCAGGTCTCTACTTCTCTGCGGTGGTCGGTGCGTCGCCGACTGTCCTGATTCTGAAGGGGCCGGGTTCAAGGCACGAGGAGTAACGCCTGAGGACTGAGAAAGGGAATAGGAGTTTGGAAGGGAGAAAGGTAAGGACGTCGTGGTGACGTTCCGTTGATCCATCTTTGTCTGCTCTCCCATCACCGAGTCGACTTCATGGTGGGACATGATTGACCTGGATCCGTAACCCGAGTCTCCTAAAGATTTCCGTCCACTAGCAGAAGAGCACGTAAGATCATGTATGGGTGGCCTAGGATGCCGAGGAGGCATTCCAGGTTCGTTAGGGTTCATTGTATCAGGCAATAAAGCAGGTGGTCCCTCAGTAGCAGCCAGATGTGTCCATGGTCCGGGAATGGTTTGGTGACTGGATACACCGTCGATGGCAACAGAAGAAGAGTCCACAAAGCGAGGAAGTGATGAACCAGAAGAAAGAGAATACTTGGGGTCGCCTTGCAGATGTTGAAATGGATAGGGTTCAAAAGAGACGGCGTAGTCCGGAAATGGGGAATCAGGGTGCGAGAAGACGCTTCGAGGGATGTGGTCACCAGGAGAAGACATGGCGGATAAAGGGGTCTGCAGCCCTGTCAAGACAGAATCCGTCGAGTAGGCTGAGTGCAGGGCAGACGGAGGTGCTGCAGCAGATGCACCGCCCTCGTCTGATACCGGGACAAATGTCTGGTGCAATGAGTCAGAGACCACAGGGGCAACAGGACGGCGGGGCAGTGCTGGATATACATTGGGGTTTGGCAGCCGCGCGTGGTTGGAAACCGACTGACGCGGTCGAGCGTGATCCTTCGACATGGCGGGCGAAGGTGGTCGAGGGACGCAATATAACTGAACCCGGAGGTTAGCTCAGACCTCGGCAGAAAGACTCCCCAGCACGACTCGCTGCAAGGGGGCACAAAAGTGAGGCAAAAGCTTCCATTCCTCGGCCACCAGGCAGGGCGGATGCTTACCCTTGGGTTCGACTCAACCGGCACGCGGGCCCGGGGTAGAGAAGAGTCCAGTCTCGAGTGAGCAAGCGAGGCCACACAAGCAGGAGGAAATAGAGCCGTCAAGGATCAAGAGGGCCTCAATGATGGTTCGAGAACACAGCCTGGCTTGAACGAGACTCGCAAAACGCCTATGGCATGGCTCAGCAACGACTGAGGTAGGCGTAGCCAATCAAAGTGTGCGAGGCGTTGGGTCGAGAGGCAGCCTCGCCTAGTCTTTTTCGGACCGACTCTGCAGAAAATGAGGCGGCTTAGGGAGGCCAAATCTCCATAAGCCTGGGGGAGGGAAACGCATATCAATATATGATGCAGAAGCAGACGAGGACTGTGGACAAGAGGAGAGGAAGGGAAAGGGACGATGGGAGGATGCAGGGAGAGAGTTTGCACCGAGTTGGTCTTGGGCTTTGGGACTTGGGAGACATGGATGGGGGCAGTGCAGCGACGAAGGAGACTCACCCTCGGGAGGGGGTTGATGAGCCTGATGAACCCAATGAACCCAAGAGGCCGGGATCCCAGCTGCTAACGGAACGGAAGGAGGAAAAGAGGAGTCATCCTGGACTGGAATGAAACAAATCAATTGACGAAAATTGATCAGGACAAGCAACCAAGTAGTAACCGGTGTAATAGCAGGCAGAAGTGCTGCAGTTGAACAGGTGTGTGTGCTGTATGTGTGGCGTGGTGACTGTGGTGGTGGGGGGAGTTTTGGGACCGAATGAGACGGTGAGAGAGAAAAGAGAACGATGACGAAGGGAACCGAGCGCGGCGACACGGACGCGGCGTGTGACGGTTGTGTGATTGGCTCGTGACCGGCGACACAAAACTACTTGTGACGTACCTCGTACTGGTTACATGGTACCGTACGCAGACCGGTCTGACGGGAGCGTATAGTTCGCAGATAGTTAGCCAGTATCAGCCAACCACACGCCCCTAGCGACGTGAGTGTGCCTTGGTCTAGTCTGCTGCGGGCTTAGTGGATGCCTCTTGCTGCCTAGGCCTTTGGTAAAGGTATCCGCAGTACGAGGGACAGTCCGAGGTACGATACGACCTACCTACCAAGTACAAGTAGGTACCAACGCCCTTTGCGTCCCACAGCACCAAAGAAACTCGGAAGAGAATATTCAGAACATTTGTACCATGCATTCCCCCCAACATACAGGGTATATTACAACAATACTACCGATCACCCCTGAAGCTCCCCATCTATGATCCGTACGTATATATATATCGGGATGGGGCCGAGCAGGACAAGTGGCGGTTAAGTATGCCCACGAGCTTCGCTAACCGCTGCGTTCCGTCCATGCCCGCTCATAACTTGGATTGTTACAACACTTTCCAAGAGCTCATTGTGCATGCTGACAGGTCCCAGCCAGGTCCCAGCCAAATCCCCCCACCCACACGTGCCGAAAAGTCCACAACTTCGCAACTTCAAAAGTTCCAGAAAACAACGACAAGTTGCAAAGTCAAAATGTCCAAATTGTCCCATCATCGCATTAATCATTGCCCGCTTGTCATCCCGATCATGACCCAGATTCCAACTCTGAGACTCAGAACATCATAGGGGTATCTATCCTGGGTAGAGTACATCCGTAACCTGTCGAAACCATGATTGAAACCATGTCCAAAACAGTCTCGACTCGCTCTGCTCCATAGCAGTCCGCGTCAAATGGCAGTCTCCTCCCGCCCTCCAGCCGTGGCCCCGACTTTGCGTCCTCGCCTCACTCTGCAAAACTCAATCCGATCACGGTCTCTACCGTCAATCATGTAAAATGCAAGTTTGGCCCTGTTTCCCCGGTTGCCGTGTCCCCGTACATAAACTGTTGCTGCGTGTGTGCATGCAACGCCATCTGTAGGCCTAGCCCAGCTCGACCCTCAACCCCCATTGGACTGACATGTCCCCCTCGTGGTTGACTTGGCAGCATCGATGAGGCATATTGCCCCATGGTATATCCCGGCATCGAGTGCGAATGCGGGTGCGCGCTCGCATACATGTTTTGCATCGATGCGTGTGTATACATAGCCCCTGTTGAGTCGTAGAATGCGCTGTCGTACCCTTGGCCCATCGGCTGAGATCGGGGCGTCACCATTCCGTTTTGGGGCGATAGACTATGTGGGTGCTGCGTATCCATCTGACCTGATCCCATGAAGATGGGAGACTGATGAGCGTAGTTCCCCGTAGCACCGTAACCACCCGTCATCATCTGGCCTGGGCCTGTCGGTGCAAGCGCATGCGGGCTGTAGTATGTCTGGTCGAGCTGGTAGCCCGCATTTGGGGGACGCCCATGCATCGACGCGGGCGACTGGCCTGCAGAGGAGTTTTGGTAGGCCGATGTCGCACTGGTGGGATATGGTGATAGATTGCTCGTATCAACGGGGTTCAGCGTCCCAGGAATGGCTGCGAACGACGACGCCGTCACCGGCGGCTGATCAATCGGGCTGACAATGGTATCGGGTGAGACTTCCCTCATGTTTACGAGCTGTAGGACTGGCATGGCGATCTGTTCCATATGCTTTCCCATGTGCACGGACAGTTTCTTGAATGTCGAACACACGTTGCCACAGAAGCGGCAAGGCTCATCCCGGGGCTTCTTGTCGGTCTCGGAGCGACACTTGTCCACCATCCGCCAGACCTCACTGTCCTCTTGAAAGCCACCATTGATCGCCTTGTTCTTGCTGCTACCCGAACCCCGCTTGACCTTAGGCTCGGTCATCTTGTGTTCCCTTACCAGATGCTGGACAAAGTTGTCTTTGCGGTAACAGATGTGATTGCATTCCTGAATAGAACACTGCCACCACTCCAAGTGTCGGTGCCGCTCATTCTCGTGGCGTACCCAGTCTGCTTTGCGCTTGAACGACTTCGACTCGGAACAATTGGGGAATGTGCAGGAAAATGGCTGGATGTCTTCGTGCACGTGCTTTGTCCAGTCGGACGGTTTATGAAACTTCTTCACCTTGAAGCAGAGATTACATTCAAATTCGGCTGGAAGTCGTGAAACCGGTGGCAGGGGGATCCCCACGGGAAATAATGCCGGCGTGACAACGCCGTCCGTGAACCCAGACTCATCGACTTCATCATCTGCTGGGTTACTGATTTGGAACTGGGTCAGCGTCGTGTCCGGATCCTTAGAGCTGACCCGGGGCGCTAGAGGCATCGAGTCGCCACCCAGATCGAAGCAAAACTTGCCCGAGGCGCATTTATGCGCAACTTGGACAGAACGAGTGTGCTTGATCTTGGTTTCGACGAGTTTTTTGTAGCGCCGAATCTGCTCTTGGCCAATGCGTTCAATGAGATATGGCTCAAGTCGAGGATTGAGCTTACGCGCATGGTCTCTGAATCCGTCGATCGTCGGCATAATGTCCTCGGCGCGGATCTCAAGATCCATCCGAATAGCCACCTCGTCTGTTTCGTCCTCGTCGTCATCCGCAGGAGCGTCTTCGTTGTCGATAATCTGTGCCGCCAGGATCGGTTCGCGCTCATGCATGGGGGATGCGAGAGTCGGAATGGGTGGTCCGCCATGCTTGGTCAACAGATCTGCCAGCCCGAGGTTTGACGACTTTGCGTTCTTGGTCACGTCACTTTTGCTGCGCTGCTTTTTCAGCGTCGGTAAGGGGCGTGTTGACTTAGAGGCATCAAAGTCTTGGGCGACTGAATTTCCACGCCCGACAGCTGCAAGGTGACCAGTCATAGCAAGCAAGGCACTGCCCGTATTCAACGAAGGTGACTTAGGCTTGCCAAAACTCGGCATCCTCTGGGGTTTGATGCTCCCGACAGAGCTCCGGTGAGTATGACCTCGTGGGGCGGGCTCTTTGTCCTCTGCTGAGGGCTCTTCCTTTATGTTACTGCTACTGCGCCGAGGAAATATGCCCCGAGCCTTGTTGAAGAGGCTGCTCGTTCGTTCCCGCCCCCTTTTCGAAAGGGACAGGTGTCGAATCTGACTGCCTTCAACAATGGAGTTGATTTCGCTCTCGCTCAGCCGACGTCGTGTTCCCCATGTAGCAGCCCTCGAGGCGGTCTCCCACTTTGCTGCTTCTTCGTTGAACTTGTATGCAGCAGCGTTTGATGTATTGGGTTGACCTCTTGTGCTGACAACAGGGCCCCGAGCCGGATCCTGCCATGGGCCTCGCCTGATGAACTGGGTAGGCAACGGATCCTGTAGTTCTGCCGGCGTTTCATCTTCGAGCGGAGGGAAAGCAGATTTATCAGGAGATGTGCGACCCTCGAGAGCATGGGGTGAAAGGCGCGGGGAGCCGTCTTCCCGATAATGCTCGATGGTCCGCTCCGTGAGCTCTTCAATTACCGACGATTGTCTTGATGCGTCGTCGTCAAAGTACTCGTCGTCTGTTTCCACATCAACAAGAGCCCCTGGACCGGGGATATGCTCGTCTGAGTACACCGGACCGAGAGCATCCACTCGGCCATCAGCGGTATGAGCCCGCCGCCTTGCCCCTTGAGGCGTCCGGCGACACGCGTTTCCCCCAGATTCATCTTCAGGCCCACTGCCAGCTTCGCTTGTTGCAAGCCATTCCTGAACCTCGGCATTCCTTTCCTCAAGTTGGCGCTGCTCTTCAAGCTCCTTGGCCGAGGGAACCGTTTCGTCATTCCTCGACTGTGGTTCAAGACCGTGGCGCTGTGGTGCGGTCGAACGAAAATTATCTGTACCATTGGCGTCTGGAGGCATCAGATGAGACGGAGACACGTCTACATCCCTTGTTTCTGATCCCTCGAGACCATCACCATCGTCGTCCTCGCCGGAAGACTCGCTCTCACGACCGCGCTTGGCAGATGTCGGCATTAAATTCTGTGATGTCTCGGACTTCACGCCACCAGAGGTCTCATAGTCAGACACCATGACCACAGGGCTCGGTGCCCGCATGCATGACGTGCCCTGCCAGGCATTTACTTTGTGATCGGACGAAGGGGTATGCCTCGAACTCGTGTCCACTTTGAGAGTTTGAGATGCTCCTCTCCTGTGGGAGGCGGCTGAGCGGTCCATTGATTGATTTTGTTGTTCATCGGGAGTTTGCAGGCGCGGAGGAACGGGAAGAGACGACCCAACTGAGGAATTCTTGGAACTCATCAGCTCTTCTCCAGAGACGAATTTGGGCAGTGTCTCTTCGGTGTGGTGAAAATAACTTTGCAAATCTGAACTTCCGGGAGCTCCTGGCGCGGCCTCAAAATCATTCGACCCGTAAGGATCAATTATGCGGGGCTGTGCGGCGTCTTGCAACATGAACTGTTGCTCCCAAATTTGTTCTTGTGGAGTGGTATGCTCGCTTAGGGGGTTTTCGGAAGATTCTTCTGTCGTTAGGAAATCGTCAAAGGAGGATTCGCGGTAGGAGTTGTCTTCGTCAAGATTGTATATGTCAGCCAAAGGTTGTACAGATCCAGGACTAGATACCGGCGGGAGATTGTACTGGGGATTAGCCAGCCAAAAATCCGGTTCGCTTCCCAGTTCCTGAGTTCCTTGCGACGGGTTTGACGTTATACTCGCATTATGCTGATGACTCCTGGACATGGAGGAATTTGCTCTGTGTTGCTGGGCTGGTATCTGCCGCGGTCGGTGAAATGCTGGAGTGGTCAGCAACGGAGAATGCTGTCCAGGCCTCTGGACATTGTATGGATTCGGGTAGGAGTGCGACATTGTGTCGTGAATCTTTAGCCCAGGATAAAGGAAAGCCAGATGTGTCTCTCCTATTCTGCTCGATTCCCGAGTGGGGAAGATCTGATAGGGCCAGGATGGTCAGGGCGTCGGAGGCATGGTAGGCGGATGGTCCGCCTGTTGTGAGGCTGTGAAGGATATCGTGATGTAGCGCAAAGTATCTGAGAACGCAGAGGAGTTCGGCCCAGGAGGACGATACCAAAGGGCCCAGGATGAAATTACCCCGGTCGGAGAACCGCAGCAGACTGCGCCTGCGGTCGCTCTTGGTGACGGCTGTGGATATCCGGCTCGTCGCGAGCACCACAGGATGTCCAGAGGGTGTAAATAGAGGAGATGAGTTGAAATGAAGAGGGCGCTAGAGGGAAGAGGGAAATGCTCGAGAAGGAGACGCGAGAAACTGTGGCACCCGCTCGTCGTGTCTCCTGATGTGGTCGGACAGAATCTGGACAGATGTGACTGGTCGCGCAGAGGACGGTGGACAGAGCAGTGGAAGGGGCTCAGGAGCAGCCACCAGCAAAGAGCAATGAGGGATAGCGCAGTGGGCAGGCAGATCGAGGGGCAGATTTCAAAGCTGGTGCAAGAGAAATGGCTCGCGACCCAGGGCTGGCTGCTCCAGGAAGGAGAGAGCCTGATGAATACAATCGGAGGTCGGCTGGGAACAACGGCGCGTTAGCGCGCAGCCGGAAAGAGTGACCTAGGTCAGGGAGAGGAGTTCAACAGTACCCAAAGTAGTCCGCGTGAGGCTATGACCAAGGGCGAGCAGAGGCGGTCGATTGAGGAAAGTCGTGATGGTGGTAGAAGAGGTGGTTGTGGTGGAGGTGGTTTCTTGTCTCGCGCAGGCGGAGGAAGCAGGCCTGCAATTGCCCGATTCCCTCGTCTCGACTCTTGGGGGCGTGAAGGTGGAGATGGAGATGAAAGCCCACCAAATCCCACCAGCCCTTCCCTGGATGGCCAGCACTGCCATGCCATGCTCGCCCGCTGTTGGAGGTCTGCATCCCACTACCTGCTCTTGTCCTCTTGTCATCGTACTTTTTCAGCTCCCGCATTAGACTTCTCGACGCGCCGACGGTTGATTCGACCCAAGCCCGCTCGCACAGGGATCGTTGCTGCAAGGACCCACGATATCATTCCACTCAAGGCCCTGACAAGCCACAATGTGGTCCCCCCCCAACCGGTGAGCTCAGTGCAAGTTGTTGAACAGTGAACTTATTCCATCCCAGGGCCAGTTGTGTTCCTGCTGGCGCTGCTGGATAAACAATTCGCGGCTATTATCGTATCATGCGCAGGTCCAACCTACCCTGCTTGTCCCCACCACAGGATCGAAGAACAACCGGAGAAAAGATGGAGAGAAAAGAGATATGACGATATCGAGGATCCAGTATGATGCAAGGAACCATCTTCACATGGACACCCTCGCTGCCTGGGACGCTGCGAAGCTTCAGGGAGCAGCCAGCAGCAAGCACAGCCCCGAATCAGCCTTACGAGCCCACAAACCAGTGAGCAGTCAGCACTGCCCTTTGGATTTCGCTACAGGGATCGTTAGAGTAGATCTAGCTCGCCCGGGGCAGAATCATGGGCGGACTCTTCTCCCTTTGACATGCAGCTATCCAATCGCCAGCACCACCCCAAACCATCTCCCAAGCTACTACCCGAGTACTGTACCTACCAAGTACAAGTACAAGTACAATTTTCGCATCGAGCGCCCTGCTGGGCCTCAGGCAACGGCGCCCGCAAAAGAACCACAATCCGTTTCGGGCCACGTACAGTACTTCAGATTCTGACCTATTCAGGTACCGAGCAGTGACTGGTCTGTGCAAAATCTCTTGTACAACACCTCGTGCTTCACCACCGTCCTCCGTCGCCTGCCATCACTTCCAGACGCCTTGCAAGGACTATTGGCGAGTCTTGACACAGTGCAATCCCCTGAAGGTAGGTGCAGCGTGCTGCCAGCGAACTCTTCTGTACACCAGCGTCCTGGACGTCGTCGTCGACACTCCTAACTCCTTCCCGGAAGATATGCGGTCGGATCCACAGCATGGCATCATTTGGGTTCGATGTTCCCTCCATCTTGAGTATAGGAGGCATGGTGGAAAGGATAGCCGCCCATTCTATCCGAACTTGCCGCCAGAGCTCAACCGCTGCCTTAGCAATTGACCGGACAGCTGTCGTTAACGCTGGAAGACGCTTGGCCAGTGTCGTGGATTGTAGCTTGTCGAGAATCTCCTTGCTGACAGACGTGGCGATTGTGCTCGCGGCCTTGCGCCCGTAGGGGCTGGTATAGAGTGATTGCATAGCAATTGCTCTCCATATTGCTTCTCGGTGGACACTCTTCACACTGATCATCTTTGATACCCTAGACAGGCACGTCTCCAAGCTGCACATGTCACACTCCTCGTGCAATGCTGTGAACAGGAATGGCTGAAAGATCCTCTGCTGCAGCACTCGGAATATCTGGTTCTGGACGAGAAGGGAACGAAGACCCCGAGCTGCCGCCGTCATGCCTGTTATATCAGGAAGACCGCTGAGGTGAGCCATACGCACCAGAGTGTGATCCGGATATGGCTGATCATGGACGAGTTGCTTCGAAATTTCCTCCACCGACGATGCTAGCTCGTTGAAAGCACTTACACTACATTGCCCCGTCAGCGGCGTGCGCCCGAAGTAGACCTGGCACGGTGCCTGGAGAAGAATGAGAACGGTCTTGGTTAGAAGCGCAACAGATCACACTCACAAGAACTCGTCACCCTTTCCTTTGCCGGCGCGGACCTGCCCAAGGCTTCGTATAATGCGCTCCATTCGCTCACTTTCTCGTTGCCATTGAGCCTGTTTATCTCTCAGACACAGCATAGTTTCCTCCAGTTCAGCATGATGCTTGCTGGTCATCTCATGAGTGGTTTGGAGCGCTTGGTGAGCCTTCTGTACCGTCGCCAGTTCGGTCTTTAAGCTGTCATTGGCATCACGGTGCTCTTCGACGTCCTCCTTAAGCTCTTCGAGCGCAGATCGAAGGGCATCCAGCTCACCTTGGAGCTGGGCCTCACGTTGCTTGTGCCTGGTGATCGTCTCTGATAATCGTCCTTCCGCAGCTTTTCGTAATTGTCCAATCTCTTTTTGGTGTCCTTCCCGCAACGCCGTCACTTCGTCTTTCTGCCTTCCGATGGATTGAGTCAACTTCTGCGACAGAGCCGCTATCTCCTCCTTGTGTTGCTCCGCCATCTCCTCTACAATCTGATCCCTCGCCTCCAATTCACTCTTGTGAGATCGCTCGGAATCAGCTAGCTGTTTGGCTCTGGCCGCCAAGGACTGTTCATGCTCGGAGATGATTGCTCGAGCGGAATCTAGATCTTTCCTCTGTTGCGAATGCTTCGTTATCATTCCTGCCAAATCAAGCTGAAGCTTTGAAAGGCCAGCCCTGTGTTCACTCACTAACTTGGCATGAACATCTTCTCTTTCCGCCATTTGCTTTTCATGAGCTCGTATCAAGTCCGTTTGTGACCGTTCATGCTGTGCCCGTTCGTCGTTAAACTGGTCCTTGACAGCTTGGAGTTGGTTCTCCAGGTCATTTTTTTCTGCAGTCAGCTGCTCTTTCATGGAACGGCTGTTCTCGACCTCACTCTCCAAAGACTCGCATTTCAGCTTCAAATTGGCAACCTCCTCGTTTGCTTCAGCCAACTCCCGAGATTTTTCCTCAAGGAGCAAGATCTTCTCGGTCTGCTCGACGATCTCGCTCTTCAGCTTTACATTTTCACGGGCCTGCTCCCCTATAATGCGTTCGTACTCTTCTTTGGAGGCGCTCAGTTCAATTCTCAGCTTGGTGACCTCTTCGTTATGTTGTGACTCGGCTTGCTTAACAAGAAGGTCTTTCTCGGATAGAAGCCCTTGACTTTCCTGATAGTAGTGCAGCAAGCGATTAATATCAGGCAGGACATTTGAGACTTTCTCAAGCAATTTCGTCCGCTCATCATCAGGTGGTGCTGCGGAGCCAGATCGAGACACTGTATCCGGATATGGGAACGGCGCAGACGGGGAAGCGAAGGGTGGTGGATAGAACGCAAGTTGCATATTAGGGTTAGCTATGAATGGATGAGGGTATTGGTATGCATGTGGGGGTGGGAACGGAATCCCCTGTGGTGGCGGGCTACCGGTGGGCTGCTGAAGAAAGGGTGACAGAGGAGGTGATGCTAGGGGTGAGCGAGCGTGAGGCGGGAACCCATGAAGATAAGGCCCTTCAGTGGCCATTGTAGGGCTCGGCACGATAGGGATGTCTCCCTCTGCCGACTCCGCTAGATGCTGGCCAAACGTGGGTTGTATGAAAACTACCGGACCCTGCGGAGTTGGAGCAACCAAAGGGTCATGAAGATATGATATGGGCGCTGTGCCCATCGGGGCAGCTGTGGGTTCGTGCAAAGATGATTTAGACATGCCAGGGGATGCAAGAACGGTTTCTTCGCGCAGTGACGACTTCGAACCCTTCGCCAGCGGCTCTGCAACGTCAGTAGGGAAGGGAGACGACATGGACATTTGTGGGGATGATGGTGTGGTTTGAGGAGGATTGATGTTCTCAGGCTCTTCGGAAACCGTTGGCTGCATCGATGCAAGTGATCTCGACGAATGACTTTTCGAACCGAGACCTTGCGAGGATTGCAGGAGCTCCGCGCCTCTTGTGAAGGATCCAACGAGCTCTCCTCCCTCCGGAACAGCGGTCATCGAGATTTTGGTAGGTGAAAGAGGACGTGCATCTGCTACAGATGTATCGGTTCTGTCATGAGGGGCTTGGATGATATGTGGTTTCACCTTGGTCGGCGAAATTGGTGCGTGAAATGTCTCATCCTCCATTCTTGATGAGATACTCTTGTCTGATCTCAATGAGACAGCGGAATGTCTAGAAGAAGCGGACGCTGGATCCGACCACTTCGAGTCGAACGTCCTTTGGCGGTGAAAATATATAGCCGGTGAGTTCGACCGGCTGTTCCTGGGGATAGAGACTTCATCAAGAGTCCGCGACAGCGTCTTGGATAGTTTTACAGATGCCGAACTCGACGCTCGGCTCCGTGTCTGTTTCTCCGAAATCTCGCTGAAGCTCCCAGGCCGCCCTCGGGGCCTCGCATTTGTCTGATATGCAGTCGTCGACATTATGCTGAAAGGAGAGAATAAATAGAAGAAACAACAGGATTTTTACGGTCAACCTATCTTAGGAAGCCAAACCAAAAGTACCCATGACCTAGAATTCTTTTTTCTTCTGATTGTTCAGGGCGCCCAGTGATGTACAGACAACAAATACTGGTACATTATTGATACAGGACCAGAAAAGAGCATAAAACAATGTGCAGAATGTCGAATTCACAAGGGTACAGCAAAAGAAAAGGTCATTTGAGTCATAAACACTTAGCCCTGGGAACAAAGGTCAGCATCAATAGCAATTCTAACTCAAGACTGGGCATCAAGTGGTGCAGGACAGGGCCTTGCTGCCCGACCAACGTGACGACAATAGGTCCAGAGCAACTCCACATAACCAACAGAGCTGCATGAACCAAAGTGCCCTCGCCCCCCGGATGCTGGGCACTGATAGGACGCTGGCTGCTGGAAAGAAGATCGTGTCAAAGCACGATTGGTGTAGAAAGCAAGAGGTCGAGATTGAATGTGTGAGGGGCGGAAAAATGGACGGCCCGGAATTCTTGGCGTCATGTAGCTTGGATGTTTAACCGCAGTTTGAGGGAGGCTTTGAACATGAAAGTACAATACATTGCAGACCAGTTCCTCGTGACACCTTTCTGTTGTTGTCGCTGCAGCATACACAATCATGTCTTTTGTCTCTCGAGGGGCGAGAGCTGCAGCTCGTCCCTTGAGGCGTGCAATCCAACAACGTCCGCAACGCCGATTTGCTGGACACGAAGCTGGCCACGGTCATGGAGATGCACACCACCATCATTCTGGGGAGAGCGCTCTCCACGTCGCAGGTGGATCGGGAAACGAAGGATTCGGCGTGAGCACTGGAAATCCCCAACTGAAATTCCAAAACAGGCGATGCAAAAGACTGACACTGCTCTGGGAAACAGAGGGGATTCTACATTGCCATAGGCTCCGTACCTTTCGCAATGCTCATCTACTCGATCGCCAGCTCCCCCGGAGATAATGCGCTCAGCCGTCTTGTGCGGCAATACGATGCCGGCAAAGAGGTGCTGTTGAGAAAAGATGCAATACACACAACCATGATGGAGCAGGCCGCCGCTGATAGGCAGCTGTTCGCTGCGACGCCGACTGATCCTGCTGGCCCTCCCCTTCGAAATCCAGAGTATGAATACCCTATTTTGCACTTGGACCCGGCTTGGTTATCGAGATCACTAACCAGGGATTCTAGGTCATTCAACTTCGGCTCACCCTGGAACGTGTCTGCTGGTCAGGGCACAGCGGATCTCTCTGCGTTGTCCAAATACTATGAAGGGAAGAATAAGGAAGCGGAGCGAGAGAGGGTAGACAGGTTCAAGAAACAGAAGGGTTCCGTTTACGACCTGTAGCCAAATGGGGTTCTTAGGGCGCTTCCGGCCGTGGCATTGTATATAGGAAGTAAGAGCCACTTGAGTATGACGTGGCTGGGTCAGGGCTTATGAGCATGTGCAAGTGATCGCAGGCAATGAAGCATGATCGTGTCATTGTCCTCTTTCGCCCTCACATTTACTGCAGGTTTCTGGCTATAGTTCTACTGACATGTTCTTGATTTCAGCTTCCATTGAGAGCCCCTTCATCCTCAAGCGACCATCAGAATCTCTTCACAAATTTTGTTTCGGCGGATGGACTGGGCCAGGCTCCCCAATGAGAGTCAGGAACGATTCATGCACCTCGTCTGTAAGGTCGCTCGCCTGCAGACTTCTCTGTCTCTTCGCGAAAGCTCTCCTTGAACACTCTCTCGTAATGGCACTTCCACCAAACGCCGCCAACAAGAGCGTCTCCTCTCGACTCATCTCCTCGCCAATGTCCCAAAGCTTCTCATGATAAGCTTCTCGCCATGCCAGCAATGTGCCTAACGAACCCGTCAGGGTATCACCCTGTCCACCAGACCGCTTCAGGCCCCCCTGGAACTCGGAGACCGTGGTGTCGATACCTTGTGATATGTAGTCGACCGGGCCCTTCTGAATGATGCAGACTCCGCCGAGTATCTTGGAAAGTTCCTGGCATGCCTTCTCCGGATCCCCGCCGCTCTGGTCCATCCCTACTGACTTAGCCAGACGGCCGAACTCAACCACATTAGGAGTAAGAATGCATTCCTTGTGTCCTTTGATCAGACCCGGATCTGTCTGAACTAACAGGAGGGCGTCTGCATCCAGCACCATCGGGATAGGGGGGTTATGCTTCCTCGCTGCGGCAATGACAGCCTTGACCTGCTTTTGCGTTACAATATCTCTTCCCAGCCCGGGCCCAATGACCAGCACATGCAACCTGGGCAACATATCTAATATAGGTTTGGCCAGCTCTTCCCCGGAGGGTTCCTGTTCCTTCTGTGCCTGCGATATAGACGCCGTAGACCTGAGAATTGGCGAGACCATCAGGTTCGGCGAGTATGACTTAATTGTGGGTGCCGCCGAAGGTTCGCAAAAGACGTAGGACATATCACAGCCTAGCCGTGCAGAGGCCATGGCGGAGAAGTATGGCGCACCCGTGTAGTCTGCACTGCCGCCGATGACAGCAACCCGGCCGAGCTGGCCCTTGTGGAATCTCTCCAGCATAGGAGGCACCAGTTTGTGGACTTTGCCCAACATTGCACGCGCTGCGGCGGACATGTTGATGGTTGAGCGGCGATCTTCTGAATTCGGACTCATTTGGTGGGAGGCTTTATGGGGGAATATCGAAGTGAGGTAGCTGCTTCAAAGCTACGCGAGGCAGATGTATTAATTCTTCACCCGGCGTGGAATCGAGAGGGTGGCATGCAGCCGATGAGGTTAGGCCGTGATGGATTGATCGCATGTTTCCAATTGTGAGATGGAGAGTGATGTCACGAAAAGCACATGCGTTGGTGGCGTCAACGATCAATGCGGACGGATGCAGCGTCCGAAGCAACGCGATGGACCTGGCAAGTTGGCTGATCTTTGTTTCTATTTCCACGAAGTCAGTGTCACATGAACTACATCACTTCCAAAACCCGTTGAGGTTCCCGGAACATAGAAAATCTTGAGTTGACTCGAGAATGTCTGGCCTCTAGAGAACTGCAAGTTGCGCTTCGGAGTGAAAAAGTCGCCGAGTGGTCACCAGGGCTGAGGTAGATCGCCAGCCTTGTCGCCTTCGGACAAGAGGTCAGCAGTCAAATACGAATGACAATTACCTATATCTCCTCTTCACGGAGAAGTGGGTTTTGCAAGTATCCTAGGCTATTTGCCACGGGGCTTCCTCCATCTACTTCTATCCTCCGAGACGCTCTCTGCTTGCGTTAAGCCTTTGCAACTACCTCGATGTAATGGCCAGCCAGGCTCACAACCTGCTCCTCAAAATCCTTGAACTTGATGCCAAGGATGTTCTCGGTCTTACTTGCGTCAAATGGCATCGGCAGTGAGGTCTGACTGCCACCAAGAGGAAACACACCTTTCTCCACAGCTGTAGGAAAATGTTTCTTGACGATGTCGATGGTATCATCCCATTTGATGCCGTTCACGTCGTAGTTAACCCCAAAGTTTTGGTTTCCTTGAATTTTAGGATCCAAGGACGCAATATGGACGTAGGCGACATCGTCAACATGGCAAGTGGCTGCTGGCATGCCATTGGGATTGTGCATTCCCAACAGCGGAGTAAAGGCAAGGGCATTTGAACCAGACTTGACGGCTGCTGGAGTGGTTGCAAGCTCGTTCTTGCCAATGACAAAGGTCGGCATAATGTTGATCACGCCGAAATGGGGATTTTCTTGGGTGATGAAGTCTCGGGTGCGGTTGTAGGCCAGCTTCTTGCTCGCCGCATATGCCGCGAAAGTGTGAGGGTATGGTCCACGGGGATCCGGTTCGACGTTGTCAGCGGTATACACTCGGGGCTCGGGTGGAGAGACAGCCGCAACGGAGGAGGTGATAACGACTCGTTTGACCGAGGGCTCTTTGAGAGCCGAGCGGAGGATGCTCAGCGTGCCCCTGATGGCGGGTTGAATGATATTGGCCTCGTCGTCATCAGAAGGGCGTGCCAGAGGTGATGCGATGTGGACAATGTAGTCTACACCCTTGACGGCTTCATCAAAGGCACTGTCCTTTTCGATGTCGGGAACTATGACAAACGAAAGCTTATCGAGGTACTGCTGGGTGGATTTGGCAGCCTTGATCTCAGCAACCTTGCTTTCAGATCGAACCGCAGCCCGCACTTGGTAGCCTTTAGAAAGCGCCTCGATCAGCGTACGATAACCAACATGACCTGTGCCTCCAGTCAGAAGTATGAGCTCGGTAGCCATGTTAGGAATCTTGTCGGTAGGGTTTTTAAGGAGGATTCGAGGATAATGTGATGAGAGCTGTTAGCTGTCTCTTGTTTTTCTGATCTGCCTTTGGAAGTGACTTGAGGATCGAGGGAAGAACAGATCCCGTCGTTTATATTCTTGTCAAGAGTAACTCCTACCTCCGTTGTCATGTACAGTCTCGAATGCCTCCAAAGGGCCACGCATTCCAGACACTTCCCCTCTTGATGAAGCTCCACTGAGTAATCACAGTATTTGTCGTTGTTCTGGGGTGTTCATTGCGTGTCCCACAAGTGCACGGCCGAGAGAAAAGATCTGTATTGGGTTACGTCGTCCGAACATTGTCTCAGCGGGCCGTTGGCAAGCCAGGAGAACAGCGACCTATGTCAAATTGACTTCGCCTTTTGTCAAGCTGGCCTTCGGTTGACTGCCATTGATGATCCAGTGTTCTTTTCTGATGGAGAAGACATGAGGGCAACATGAATGTTTACTCATCAGGAACGAAGAGATGGTGCAGCGTTGTGACGAATTGCGTGCATGGCTTTCCGAGATGCTTGGCGCCCGCGCTTTGTCATCTGCGAGCAAAGTCCCAGCTCGCCAGTTTTGCCCACAGTTTCTGCGCCACGCTTCTGTAGTTTCCCACATTATCAATTGGCCCTCATGCCCGCCTGGAATACTCAACAAAGGACTTGCCGAGGGAATCCTGTGCTCTCTGCCGCTGTGTAGCCGGGGCAAAGTGGCGTTTCCTCCGTTGCTCATCGACGACACTCGGCCGCAGAGTCTCATATTACGTCTGTCTATCGCCCATTATGATTCAGCAGTGGGAAATCGCACGGCTGCGAGCCTTCCACGCTGCGCATTTCTCCGGCCAACCAATCCCAGACCTGGTCACTTGTCAACAGAATCCCATGGACCAGACCGAATCCAGCCGTAGTGCTGAGGCCGTTATTGGCGAGGAAAACCACGACGACGAGCGTGGTCTAGGATATTACGAGGACGGCGTGAAAAGGACGTTAACAGATGATCAGATCAAGATGTTCCGCCATTCCGAGATCCAGCGCTTACTAAGTGAGAAAAGAGCAGCTAAGGTGGAGGAAGAGACAAAAATAAAGATGAAAGAGAACAGTATCGCCAGCACTGTAACACGTGAACCAAGGAAACGGCGATTTGAAGACGAGCCAGCAGCAACCCAGTCCGGTGTCGATACTTTGACCTACGATGAAGGGCCAGATACACGGCCAGCATCAATACCCGTGGAAAAGAAATTCTTGTGGCCAATCCTTGGACAGAATTCAAAATGACTTTGTCCCATGCCAACAACTTCGTCAGGTCTATCTCTGGATCACAAATGCTCTCGTTATAATCCCCTAATGAGGCAATAGGCGCGACCAGATGCGTCAGGATGACAGCTCTGGAACACAACTTGGTATGTAGACGAAGTTTTTTTTTATCTATCCATGCCCCAGATGATGAAATTTGTATCATCCTTAGTCAAAGGTGGGTGCCGAAAGCAGTCTCGGCTCAGCTTGATGATCGCTTTCGACAATGACGCCCACTTTGCAGAATTAATCTTCTCTCTGATCGTGGTTTCTCCATGCAAAAATGATCTTGAACGTCATATTAGACTGCCACTGACCATGTGTCAATACAGGGCGCCTTCTTTATCCTCCACGACGGACCTCCTCTGTTGATTTTGAGGGCCTGCACTCAAGCTCAGTGGACGCTTTTCGCTTGAGGTTCCTTTCGTCATCACGGGCAAGCCTTGGCTCTGTCTGCGCCTGTAGTCCAGTTGGCTGTTCTGGCTCACCCGACCGCTCTGCCTCGTTCACTCTGATGTCCTCACAGAGTTGAGTTCTGAAGGACAGAGATGCCAGCGAACTTGCATCCGGCGGTGTGGCCGTTCCAGCTGGAAAGCATTGGCGAAGGAGGTCTTGCTCCGCTGAATCAGCATAAGTAGGAGGCTCATTGTCGTAAGATTCCTCGCTGCCGCCGTCACTTTTGTCGTGACTATTGGTGTCGCACACTGCTGGGAGGACGTCACCGTCGAGGCTGCTTGTCTCGACTGAAGGGTGCCTTAAGCACACTGCAGTCGATTGTTAACCTCAAAAGCCGTGAGACTGGATAAAGATCCACCTACCACGAGACCACTCGGAGTGATCATCGTCGATTGTTACGACAGCCTGCGGTGGGTCCTCCGGATCGCAGCCGCCCGTGTTAGCCGGGTGGTCAGTCATGGCAGATGCTGCAGAAGAAAGTCAATATGGGAGGGGTGTCTAGCTGGTTGTGAATCCGAAAGTTTAAAGGAATTACTCCTGAGGGCGGGTTACTTATATCCAAGAGAGAAACGTTAATTTTTGCAGGCCTCAACCTCCCTCCTTGAACAATAACCAACCAGAAGGACTCCAGGAATGCACTGCCAATGTGTCTTCATTTGATCATCATTCACACCGCTTTATTGCAACGAAATAACAGTTGGCCACGTTTATGCCGACACGCAGAATGCCATGGTATTAGAGCCTGTCTGGGGCATTCAGGGGCTTGGACGCTACTGCATCTCCGAAGGCTCCGGTGCCTACAGGGTTGAATCACAATGGGGCGCATTTCACCTCCAGACATTCTCGGGGCTGACTGCACCACAGTCTCCCGGTTGAGACGAAGATTTCAGATCACCAAAGAGATTCCTAGCCGTTCTATTGTCCATCTCGTCGTCACGTTACCAGTGGAACATGACGCTGGTTTGCTAAACCGCTTCCCGTGGCGATCTGAGTGGGAAACTCCTCCCATCACAGCAACGACGTGATCTATCTCTTCAGCCCCTTTCTTGCAGGGTATCTTCGCGTAATGGGGTCGTCCGGATCTGATCCAGAGCCTTAGAAGGAAGAAAATCCCAACAGTAAGGAACCGTGGCATCCCTGGCCGACCAGCCACGGGCTGTCCTTCCGTGAACGCGATCCCTATGCATGCCAGGGATAGCGCATAGGAAACAAACGGCAACACTTCGCCTCCTGTCTCTATTTAGGATATCGTTCGTCGTCTGTGCTGTCATGCCATGCCACCTCACGCGAATCTGTGGACACCCTCCTCAAAGACACCTTCCCCAAAGAAACGAGAGGCTGTCACCAGTGAGTCTGTGACCACTAGCGGAACGAGATGTGGATGGGCTTCAAACTTTCTTTCGGTAGCAGGGATCGGCCGCAGCGATATCGGCAAGGATGCCATGCCGTTTCTTCTCTCGACTGACTCCTTTGGGATGGCTCGAGAACATTCCACTGTCTCTACTGTAAGATCATGCGACGGGCCATTCTTGGTGCCAAAATCGTTGGGGGGGGGGGGGGGGGGGTTGCTCTGGCCGCCAAACAGGTCGTTGTGTGGCTAAGCGCCGAGGCTGCCTCTGACCATGGCCATCAATCTGGTCATGCGCTCCGACCTCGTTTTCATGGTTAATCGTTCAGTCGATTGAAGACACGGTATCATCGTACGGAAATTGAAATATGGATGGGTGCGATCATGCGGCCTGGCTCTTGGTCATCGAGAGAAACAAGAGCGGTGAAAGGAACTATTATCGAATGCGGCCAGTGGCCTACGGGGACGAACGAGACTCCTGTGATGATTAACCCAACCCCTTTCAAAACCGGTGAACTAGTCTACTCCAACCCGTTCCCTGCCTTGTCCTGCCATGAAGCGATCGAATTAGTCGGGACGACCCGTGGTCGTGTCACCCTCAAACTCGTGATTTCGCTTGAATGGAAGTGCGTGGACAAGACGCGGAGGAACGCCACAAATTGCGCACACTCAAAGATTTGGGATGATTATGTGCGTCACTGACTGATGTTGTTGGGCCTGGCCGCCCAACCTGACCCTATCCTAACGCGCTGCTGCATTACTATCGGCGGCTGCATGGTTTCTGGGTAATGGTATGAGATATCTCCTGCCCACGACATTTCAACTTTGCAGAAAATACTATGCTTATGGCTCATAATCGAACCCCGCGGGCTACATAATGACGAACCGTCGGGGCGACACCGTTGTTTTTTTTCCAGCACACGCTGCTTGGAACCTCCGTTACCGGCATTCCTGAAGTAGCAGCAAGCCTGGCCGACGTGACCTACTGACCGCGCTGACGGAGGCTGGCAGAGGTTGGCGACGGCGTCTGCCTCGTGGATCAATACTACCTTTGGACAGTCATCCTCTTGGGCGGGTGGATCAAAAGATGGAGTGGCTTTTGCCCCTACCTGTCGGCACCCGTGATGCACAGGGGCGCCAACCCGTCCAGGTATTTCCCGCAAAGAATTTTGTGACCTCCTGTGAGACCTGGTGACCGCCTCGTGCAGCTCCGCAACAACCGGAAGAACGAGACTGCATGGCCCCTGCCGTGTTATGGAGTAGATACAGCCTCTTCATCACCTGTCTGCGCCTGGCTGAGGCAGACTGCGGGATAACCCTGATCGATGTACGTGCCGCGCTTCCGAAAATAGTCACCTCTGCGGACACAGTTGGCAGGCAAATGTTTCAACTCAAGCACACGAGCAGCTGAAGGACGGTCTTTTTGGAGGGCACGACGAGTCTGGGAAACAAACCCAAGAGTCTAGCTGCTCCGCTGCAATAACCCGCCCACTGGGGAGTTCGGAATTAGGGGCCCAAGCTGAGTCTCTTGTCCTCGAGGTAAGTCCCCAATGTATACGCGATTCCGAGTTGAAGATTCTTACAAAAGTTCATAAACTTAGTACCAAATGGGCTTCGCGACCGCCAAGACCACCATATCCTGTGAACTCTGTTGAAGCTTAAATCCCCTCTCTCGAATGCTCTGATTGCCCTTTTTCTCCCCGTGGATGTTGCCTGTCTTGATGCAGACCGCACCTTTGCTACTAGGTAGTATTTGCCTCATTCTTAGCCTGACTACTCAGTCACCACCACTCTGATGCGACTGAGCAAAAATTCCTTCACGATGCGCCAGCAAGCGATCAGAGACCGAAAAGACCTCTTTAACGCCAAAGACCACCGTGGCAAGACAAACAAAAAAGGATCAAAAGGAGGACTGATCTCACCGGATCCCGGAATCGAACCAGGGGCGACTGTGTTTCCCACATTGAAGCCATCAGACCGCAAGTATGAGAGACAGTAATGTTAACCACTACACCAATCCGGTTTTCTGTTGCAGGTCTTGTATTTCTGGATTGTGGTTGAAGACTCTGAGAAATCTGTTCATATACCCGATTTTCTGGATCGGCACCCATTGTCACTGGCGGGATTCAGAGCTTCGCTGGATGTTCATGCTTAGTTCAGTGAGTCATCAGTGAAGGTTTTGAAGCGATGCATCCCTCAACACGTCCATCCGTGCGCGAATATAACGTGTTCAAAGCTCAGCAGCTATTTCAATCCCGCGAACCCACCTTAGCGTCGACCTCGAGAACACTCTCTTCTCTTTCGCATGAAACATCTCCTCTGTCTGTCTCACTGTACGACGGACCGGTCCGTATCCTCCTAATCTCATAATCCTCTCGAGATCTCAACAGGATATGACCACAGTGAGCTTGGACTCAAAGAGCAGGGAATGTAGTCGTGGAGGAGGGCCATCCGGAAATAACCCCTCTACCATCCAACGAACAGCGCAAACTGGACGATCAAACCTCCCGTAGTTTTCCTGAAACCTACATGGAACCGCCATCCTTCACCTGGCCTAGAGATGACGAGGCTGCAAATCCAAGCCAGACGCTACTTTTTGATAGTACAGATTCATGCTAAGCCTTGAAGGAGCGAACTCCACAGCCCCATACACGCTAAATGCAAATGTTGTCTTGGGACGGAATCCAAATTGTCTGGCTACGATAACTCCATGCTTGCTCATGTGTGTTGTCGTCCGACTCAGCATGTTCGGGAGCGCCTTCTTGGTGGTAGGGACTATGAAGCAGCCTGGGCTCCAGGCTGAAGCTACTCTGCGAAAGATATGCATGGCATGCCACCATGGTCAGGTCTCATACCCGAGCCTCGGACTGACCTTCTGATTATGCATCCGGAGTCAAGACCAAGGGCCCAAGCTTTACGCTGAGAATGCCAAATCCATACCAAGTACGTCTTTGGTACGTCCTCCAAACCAGATCCCCAGATCAGCTCCAGGAATGGCAACGTTTCGTCAGGGAGTGGGCATCCACGTGGCAATATCGATCAATGAACACAAGGGTACCTGTCTTTTGACGTCCGTGGTCCATGCCCCTTGGCGTCAACATTCAACAGTGTGCAACAGAACGATAAACACAATGTGCACGTGGAAAGCACAAACTTCTACCCACCACCGGATTGACAATGTTAATAAGAAAAAAAAAGCGGTGACAAGACCGCCCCCTCATTCCTGTCTTGGTATTTGTCTAAGTGTGTTTTTGACTGATTGGTGGGTTATTTGCTTGTTTGGCCTTCAGCCGGCATCGGAGTGCCCCATGAAAGAATGCAAGGCTGCAAAACCAACAACACACGAGGCTGGACCTTCCGCCTCAAAGGGGGCTATGCCACGGTCCACTTCGGGCAAGAAGGCGGGCGATGACTTGCAGACACTGGCTGGATATAGTAAAGCTACGAAAGGGGGGGTTTGAGACCCCTTGTCCTTGGGGGGCTCGCAAAGGTCTCTGGCGCTTCTCGGTGGCTATCAAGTTGTGATCTGACAGATGAGAAAAGGAGCAAAGCCGCGTGTGCTAATCCTTTGCTCGCACCGGGCCCTCTCCGCTCCGTTTCGCCACTCCGGGATGTTCACGGCGGTTCGCGAGATGTTGGTGTTTCGCCACAGCTGTCAGATCTGCCCGCGGGCCCTGCAGGAGAAGTGTCACAGACACAGACACAGGCACCAAAGAGGTCCTGGTTCCCGGAAGAGGAGCGGAGCCAACGGACGGGATGACCGGAACTGTCAATGGGTAATAGATATGCGTCCAGGTTACGAAGCCCCGTAGTTGATGATGCTTCGCTGGTGGCGCGAGGCTGTGTACCCCTTAATTCCATCCATCCTTGCGATCATCCCTTCCGTCGCGAACGGGCCCGTTGACGAATGCTCAGGAATAGCTGGCCAGAGGCTCTGTTTGACCAGGCTCTGGAGATCCTGTGTGGTGTATATGTATATTCTTCCATGGTGGGTCTACACGCACGAGCAACTGCGGGAGCATGTGCATACTCCTACGCAGGCATCAATCATGCGATTGATTCTCGGTGAAGCCCCTCCTGCTCCTCCAGACACAGACAGAGCGATGATGCCTTCGGTGCCCATTGTGTTCATCATACTCTTTATCTCCGTGACCATTTATCACCTATGCACATGGTCTCTTCCAGGTCTGGCTCGGGACTGAGATGAGATTCGTTTGTAAAACGATTGTGATTTTCTTTCTGTCTTTTCGTCTGCATTTATCCGTTTCTGCATACATAGGGCCTTGCCGTTGCAACGCAACGCATCAGATGGCCTTCGATATCGACAATGAAGAACAAAGAAAAAGGTATTGCTAGTAATTTCAGGTTCCTGAGCCCAAACAAGTTCGTGGACAAGGCTACAAACAAGAAACAAAAGTCGATCAAGAGAAGTGTTTGCTGGCAACAACACGGACGCCTTAACGAGGCTGGCTTCTGGAGACAAATGCGAGGCGACAACCTCAATCTTGACCCCTGCTCAGTTCGTTCGCGTCTTGCTTTGGTTCTTTTTCAGTTTCCCGGTGTTTTTTGGTCTCTTTTCTTCAATGTTTGTGTGCCGGTGAAGGCATACATATGTCATGTTTTGTTCCGGTTGGGATGGATATTCCATTGAGGTTTGTTCATTCCACACAACACAATCCCATTTGTAGCTTGCACGAACCCATTAGCTCAGATTATGAAATTAACAGAGAAGATAATTTCTTCTGTGCAGTGCGACACCAGCCTCCACCCCAATTTTCAGTGCCAGACGCAAATTATCTTCATATCCTCTGCACCTCAACAATCTACATCTATTCCTCTGCAAGACAGTTAGTGATCAATCTCTGAAAAAGGGGTTGGTTCAAAGCTCACCTTCTTCCTCTCCCGTTGCCTTGCTGCCCAACACCCATTTCGACTTGCCATGAACATCGGTCTCGTGCTCGAGAGCGACACGGCTAAGGTGCGAGATGATGTTCTCCATGGTAGTATCGGCGTGGCTGCGGGTTGCACGGCCGAGGTTGTCAATCCACGACAGGCTGGTCAAAACGTAGTAGACGATAGCAACCACAATAGTGACACCAATCGAGTAGCCCCAGATGACGACGACTGTGACAATCGAAGTATCGCGGCTGTAGCTGTCCTGGGTGAAACTGTCTCTAGGAGTAGTGAAAAGTTCGTCCTTGCCACCAGCGAGCCAGCCGAAAACACAGAAAAGAGTGGAAAGAACGTCGACACCGAAGATAGCGCCAACAAGCTTCCAAGATGGCCAGGTCTGTCCTCCACGAGTGACGAAGATGAGCCAATTTTCGACCAGTGAGACTTGGAGGAAGAGCATAAGCTGGACATTGCCGAAGTTCTGAACAAGACCGCCAGAAGGCAAGTAGAAAGAGCCTCGAATAATCCAGGTGGAAACGGCCAGAAGGAAGCCAAGGAAAACCGAAATAACCCAGATCTTGGGCAATTGCCATTCGACAGGTCGTTGTTCGTAGTGAGCGTTATCGTAGGCGACGGCGATGGTGGCCAAATCAGCGAACAGGGCCAAAAAGACAACCAAGTCGGTTCTGATGGTTTCGTTGATGATGATCATGGAAGTGGTCAAGTACAGCTCCAAGTGCAAGCAAAGAGCGATACGGTATTGGACGTAGGCCTTCATTCTCTGGAAAATTTGACGAGCGACCTTGATGGCATCGACAATTGTGCTGAGACCGGGAGCTAAGAAAACGATATCGGCAGCGGCTTGGGCAGCTTCAGTGGCACCTTCGACAGCGATGCCGCAGTCGGATTTCTTCAGAGAGGGAGCGTCATTGACACCATCACCAGTCATGGCAGTCAGATGACCTCGTTGTTGCAGCATCTCGACGACCTGGTACTTGTGCTCGGGGAACACTTCTGCAAAACCATCGGCTTTCTCAACGAGGTCATACTGCGTCGAACCGGCAACACCGCCCGCAATGAGACGCTGAGAATTGTAGACCTTGGTACCGAGAGCGAGAAGCTTGCAAGTCTCCTTGGCGATGGCAATGGCGTCACCAGTCAACATTTTGACGCTGAGGCCGAGGTTTTGAGCTTCCAAGATGGTGTGGGCAGTATCTTCACGAGGGGGATCGAACATGGGCAACATGCCAATGACCTTCCAGGGCTCGTCACCGCGCTTGGAGGCAACACCAAGGGATCGGAAACCACGACGGGCAAAGTCGGCCGCAGTATCACGGTAGTGTTTGGCAGTGGCTTCGTCACATTCGGCAATGGACAGGACAGCCTTTGGCGCACCTTTGCAGAAAGACCACTTCTCGCCCTTGAGCGTGCAGACAGTGGTGATACGCTTCGAAACTGGGTCGAAAGGGGTGAATTTCTCGGTCTTCCATCCTTGTTGCAGAATTTCACGAGCCTTGGGGTATCTCTTGAGGGTCAGAATGGTGATCTTGTCGATTGGGTCAAGGGCCTTCAAGTTGTGAGAGGAAGCAAGTGCAGCAGAAGCCATGAGCCAGTTGACATCTTCACCCTCGGCGACGTAGGGTTCGCGGATGGTCAGTTGGTTGGCGGTCAAAGTACCAGTCTTATCAGAGCAGAGGACATCGACACCCTAATTTTCATTAGCTGCGCGGGAAACGACGGACAGCCGGGGAAGAGAGCTTACAGCCAGCGACTCGATGGCAGTCAATTTCTGCACAATAGCCTTTTGTTTGGCGAGATAAGCAGCTCCGACGGCCAAGGTAGTGGTGGTGACGACGGGCAAACCGACTGGAACACCGATGATAAGAAGGATAAGAGCGTAGTGGAGCAAGTTGACGGAGCTCCTCTCGGGAGTCGCGATAGGGATGTTGTGGAAGAAACCACCAATCCATGCAGCGAGAATGAAGAAGACGACCAAGACGAGCAGAGCCGTACCGATGGAGTCCATGACAGCCTTGAAATGACCTTGGTCGGTGGCACCCTGGACAAGAGACGCGGTCTTGCCGACGAAAGAGCCACGAGCAGATTCAGTGACGACAGCATAGGCCTTTC